AATCGTTGGCACACACGTCAGCGACAGACCTTGCGATTCAAAACCAACGAAATCCAACTAGGAATAACAATAATATAAGCAGAAAAAGCTGAAAAGGATTAATTCCTATGGAAAAGTGTGGGTGCATCAAAGAGTCTTGAATGGAAAAGCCTTTATACAAATGATATGATCTTGTTAATTATTTTATAATAGAAAATAAAAAATATATTTTAGTGATGAGGTTAACAAGTTGAATTCTGTATAATCCTTATACAAGTTAAATATATTTATATTATATTGAGAGACCAATAAAAACCAATTGTATTACAACCAAAACAAAACGATCAAGCAATGCATTCTAAGTCGGTTATAAATAGTCCTTTTAAGGTTTATCCAGCTAATAACGCCCACATTTCCCCTGTTTTGATACCCTGTAGAAACGGAAATCGCAGCGAAAAGCAGGCGCAGCAAATCGATTTAATCCCTCCGAGGGGGAAATTCGGTAAAGAGGGAGAAAAAGGAAAACTTAATCAATTCGCAACGCTTTTTTGTGGTCATAATGCAGCATTCATATACATATACACATATATATTTGGTACTCCCCCAAATGGGGGCGTGGCAGATCAGTGGTTGGGGGGCGCTACACGGTGCAGACATTTAAATGCATTTTAATAGATTTTCCACTTTTGGTTTTTTCTAATGTGCCCTACTATTCAGCAGGAAACGGAAAACAAAACATGAGACCGAGTGTGTGTGTGTGTGTTTGTGTGTGTGTTTGTGTGTGTGGGCGGAAATGGGGGCGGCGGACGGTGGGCGGTGTGGGTGTGTAACTGGGAGTGGGCGTGGCACATATATCGATAAACCGCAGCAAATCGAAAGAAACATTCTTTGACACAAACAAATAAGCGAAGCGCGAACAATAAAATCAAATTAAATGCAGCAGAAAAGGAGCAATTTACTCGAGTCCTTTTCTTTGGGGTTCCCCCTTCTTTTCCCTTTTATTTTTTTGGCTTGTAGTTGTTGGTGTCCTTTCTGTGTCCGTGAATTAAATGCGCCTGGTCATTGTGGAGCCATTAGCGGTCCTCGAGCGCCCCGGTTTTTCCCGCTCCCGTTTGTATTTGTGTGTGTGTGTGTGTGTTGTACATTTTTTCCCTTTTTTTGTGCTGTCAGCATGAAAAGTGGAAAATTTATTGACTGCACATATGTCGCACTTTTTCCATTGGCTCCTGCCACACAGTTGTTGGCCGTGTCCTTAATGTTTGCCCTCGCCTAATGCACACATAAATATTTTAATTTGTATGCCGCAGATGCCGCCATCGCCTCGATTGAGTTGTCCTGTCCGACTGGCCAGCAATGAGGTCCTTATCCCTTATCCCTTATCCCTTTGGCCACTTTAGCGGTCGATTCGGTGGACTCCCCAATCCTTCATATCCCTAACGATTGTCACGGCTTGATGTGCGAGACAGTGATTGGGTCACGTGCCGGAATCGGGAAAGGAGTCCTTACATGCGAGGACATACAGTGCACTAATCGATATCCATCAGCACTTCGATTTGGGTAATTATGTGGTATTCAAATTCGAATTTGATATTATGGAATTCTTAAATAGAATATCATTTTTACTAGTTGGTTTTATGTATACAGTTTAGCTGAAAGTCTACTCATTAAATATATTTTTAATAACGCTTTAGAATATTTGTGATAGTGAATAGTATTATTAAATAAAAAAAATATCATTTAGGCAGGATATTGAAGTTATTTGTTTGGAAAACAGTATTTTACAAATCCTTAAAAAATTGTTTAATATAAAATAAGTTATTATTATATATAATAACCAAATTATATATTTTTAAATAACCACCTGTTGAGTTTATATCATAATCAAGATAATTAAGTATTTAAAATATTTTAATAAATTCCATATTTCTTCTGTTCAATCGTGGCTCTTCTTAGGTGCCACAAATTAAGAAATTACTTTCTGTGGCTTCCCATATCTACATTTTAATCTGCAGGCAAAGTCAATCCGTCGCTGAGCAGTTTATCCTGCGCCTTTGCCAATCGAGATTGCGATCTTGTTGCGCGATTATCCTTTAAACACATGTCATCCTAAGCCCCAGCCCTCCAAAATGTTAGTTTTCTGCTTGTTGTCCTGCGGAGATCTAAGCCCGCATCGAGCCAAAATAGAGGCCATATGCCGCAACGATCTTTGGCCAAAGGAAAGACAAAAGGACTGAGGAACCCACGCAGGACTCACAGTTCGACCGCAGGACACGACCGAAATTTATAATCACCGATGACCATGTCTAACACGCCCACCGCCAACGCCCCCCGCCCAAAAAAAAAAGTAGGGGAAGAGGGAAAACAAGAGAGGGAAATGTGAAAAGTGAAAAGTAAAAACTAATAAATACCAAGTGCCGATGAAACATAAAACATTTTCTAGTTAAGTCATGTTCGATCATCTCGGCCGCAGGACACCGAAAAACTCGGAGGACCTTTTTTTTAGACACGCTTGCTTAGCGCAGGCAGCGAGATAATCTCAACTCAATTTGCTGTCCTTTCGCTCTCGCTCGAGGACCTAGAAAAACCAAGGATCGCCAAACATCAAAACATCGATTCTGTGGAAATGTCGGTGGAAGAAGTCAAGTGCGCTGGCAGCTCGATTATTTATAGCCCCGATCAAAATTAGAGCGATATCTGGTTACCCTTAGAACTTTGGCAGCGCCACTTGAGGAGTCCTTGAGATCTGAAGGATCCTCGAGGATCCTTGAATATCCGAAGCGTGCCCAGAAGTCGAAGTTACTCGAGTCGAGTATGTGTGACAACACTTTCGGTTATGTACCACCACTTGGAGCTGTTATTTGGCTCCTAGGACAAATCATCCTGATTTTCGAGAGAGTTCTTGTGAGATTTTGTGGTGTCAGTTGGCCACAAATTCCGGGAACTTCTCGGCTGCTGATCTAATTCTCTGCCGCTGGTTCCTAAGTGGATACTTGTGTCGCAACCTCGAGTTATGACTTCATCCTCTGATGTGACTTCATAATTTGTATAATTTGTGTTTTCTAACAGGTCGTGCTGGGCAAGTACTTTTCCACAAGCCCTTAAAGTCTCTTTTTTTTAACCAAAATGTACTAAATCTCACACGATTGTTATGAAACTTAACAAATAGTTGTATTATAACAAAATAATACATTGTAAATGAGTTTTTCATTGTAAAAACGGCAAGACGATTGTAAAATGAGTAATGAGTAATTGTTAAAATTTTACATTTTTTATCTTAAAAGAGAAACACCTAATGCATTCAAGTTATAGAGCCACTTGGAAAATCTATTAACAAATTGATTTAAAAACGAAAATTTCCAGCGATTCTGTAACCCATACTTAAAATTACACTTTCGCCCGAACAAAACTCGGCGCAGAGCACTTTTCGAGCCATTAAACCGGCCAAAAACAGAAAAGACGAATACCTCAATGTTCGGGTTAACTCCTCTACGCAATAAAAAAAGAAAACAACAACAAATACAAAACACGAAGAGACGCGAAGAAAAATTAACAAATCATAACATCATCATTTATCATCATTAAGCTGCGAGATTTTATTTTGTATTTCTTGTAGTACTCTTTTTTTCATTTTATTTCTGGACTTTTCCCTTTTGGTTGTGTTTTATTTTCCTGCGCTGACCGCAGACTTCAGTTATAAATCAATCAGATTTTGTGTTTGCCATTTAGTGGAGCGCCCCGAAGAAAAGGCGGTGGTGGTGGAGGTCTTTGGGGGTGGGGCAAAAAGGGTTTTGGGGTTTTTAAGCGGCCAACGCGGCGTATGATTAACGTGCGTGTGAAGTTGTTGGGGGCAACCCATCACACCCTGCAGACTATATGCTTTTTCTTCATTTTTTTCCTTTTATTTTTGTAGTTTTTGGTATCTCCTGTCTCCGAAGATCCAGCGATCTACCAATCCAAACAGAGGTTGTCAACCGCTTGCACAATCCAACAGGCAAATGTGCATTGCGGCTAATAAAACAAAACGGAAAAAGATATAGCTGGCCCGCGGGGGGCGTGGCACATTGAGGGGGCTTGGCGCTCACTCAACTTGAAAATTGATTGATGCCCGGGCAGGGCAGCATAAATCAATATTTTATATTGGCCCGCTCAATCGATCGGCGCTCTATCTGCATCGGATTGGATCTCCGGCGATTGGCAATCTTCACGCCATCATACGAGTATATATACATACATATATCCATATGGTATATATATTTATTTTTCACGTTTTTTGTCGGGACAAAAAGTTTCCCGTTTAATTATAAACTCCCATTTTGGGGCTGGCCAAGGTGGGATAGTCGGGCGAGCTAAATTGACTCTCATTGGTTGCCTTTAGATTGAACATGCCCGTTCTGAGTTATGATCTAGGACTTTGAGATTAATTAATTTCCAAGCTGCAGATGGCAAAAAAAGGAGCGAAAAACACGTATCTCATTCAGATCTGATAGTGATTCAACTCTTTTGGTGGGAAAAACTAGACGTGCCTTAGGTTATCTTGTAACAGAAAGAAATTCATTTAGTTTAAGAACTAGAAACTAATCTTTTGAGGTTGAAATCATTGTGGTATAAACTAAAATGTTTCTTTTCTTTAATGATGAGCTTAATAATGTTTTTAAAAAGCATTCTCCAAGTCAGCAATGCTTTTACATTTTTATAGAAATGGCAGACATTGTAGAAAATAAAATCAGATAATGGTGGCTCTAATAATCGCTTTGGAAAAAGTTTCTATTATTATTCGAATCCCGGCAAGGATCGGCACCCAAAGCAGATCAAGTTCGCCGGAAGTTGCGAAGCTTCCTGGGTCCTTTTTTTATGCAGAATGCAGAACCAACTCAAGGGTGGTTTTTCGGAGATCAAACAACCCTGAAAACCGAATCGAGAACCATAAAACCCATAAACAAGGGTGCGTCGGGATCAAGGAATAATAATAATAATGAAAACAGGATTCGCTTTTGTTTTCCGATATAATTTTGTTGGTTTTTTTATTGTTAGGATTTTCGTGTGGGGATTTTGTCGCCTGGTTGTTTTTTATGCTTTTTGTTGTATATAATTTATCTTAAAGACAATTAACAATTATTATGGTACACAACTAGATGATTTCTCTCATTCTATATGGTATGGCTTAAAAACACTATATATGTATTTACAGACATGCAAAAAAAAAAGATCCTTAACTTAGTTGGAGGAAAAAAAAATTGGAAAAAAATTCACGTCCCTACAGCTAGCTAATTGTATTGTTAATAATATATATTTATATAGTGTATTTTGTTTTTTGTAATATCTTAAATGGTAATTGTGGATTTTTTTTCGATTTTCACATATATTTTGATGTCAACAATAAACACTGAAAAAAAAACACACACACACTAGAGGTTCGTTCTACGCTTTCGTTTGTTTGCCGTTTTTAGGGTTTTAGTTTTTTTTTTTTTTTGTTATGTGTTATTTTTTGGGGACTTTATGGCATTTGTTTTTAAGTTTTTTAAGTTTAAATTGTAACAATAACCTTTATAATTCTCGTTTAGGACTTTTTTAGGCGGTGGCATGTGGATGATAGGCCGCTGCCCAGGCGTTGTGATGATGCGGATGCGGATGCGGATAGCCGTAGGTTGCCGTGGTTGCCGCACCGAAATCCGCGGGATAACCGGCCGCATACTCGGACTTCATGTGGCAACTGGAGCTGGAATCCTGGCTAGCGCCGCTGGCCAGTCCGCTCATGGTCAGGCCATATTCCGCCGCCAGCTGCGATTCACTTTGCATTGCCAGGGCGGCATAATGATGCTGGGCCAGGGCGGTGGCCGAGGCGGCTGGCGAGGATGCGGATCCCAAGGCGGACGAGGCTGAGGCGATGGCTGCGGCGGATGCGGATGCGGAGGCGGAGGCGGCGGAGATCACCGGCGAACCGGCGCTCGTCGAGGAGGAGGAGGCTGAGGCGGCGGAGGAGAGACTGGCTGAGGTAGTGGCTGGTTGTATGGCACGGCTGCTCCATGGCTCCATGTAGCTTCCCGTCGCTGATTGTTGCTGCTGTTGCTGTTGCTGCTGTTGCTGCTGCTGCTGCTGCTGCTGGTGCTGATGCAGTTGCAGTTGCTGCTGCTGGAAGAGCGGCGGCGGTGGTGGCGGCGCCGACTGATAGAGATTCGCGTAGGGCGCATAGTTGACCAGCGGCGCCTCCGGCTGCTCCTGCTTGAACTCCAGCGGCGGCAACGGGCTCTTGCCGTTCTTCTTCTCCTTCTTCTCCAGCTTTATCGCCGCTGCCGCCGCCGCCGCCGCCGAGGAAGAGGAGGAAGACGAAGAGGAGGAGGAGAAAGCCTGCTCCTTGGCCTCGGCGGCCAAGGCCTTCTTGCTCTTCTTGTCCTTGAAGTGGGTCTTCTTGTGCTTGCTGAGGTGATCGCTGCGCGAGAACTTCTTGGAGCAGATGGGGCAGGCATACGGCCGGTAGTTCGTGTGCGTCCTGCCGTGCCGCTGCAGCTCGTCGGAGCGGGAGAAGCGCTTGCCGCAGGTGAGGCACAGGAACGGACGCTCGCCGGTGTGCCAGCGCAGGTGGGTCTTCAGATGGGAGGCCTTCCCGTACAGCCGCTCGCAGCCGGGTATGTGGCAGATGTGCTGCTTGCGTCCGCGCTCATCCGGTCCCACAATCGGCGGCAGTCCGCTCATCTCGTTCGTGCAATTGGGGCACGTGCAGCGAACGGAGCGCCGCTGCAGCTGCGTCTGGAAGGCGATGTCATCGAAGTTGAATCCCGGATAGCTCTGCGAGCTCCACGGCTGGTACAGGCGCTCCTGGTGCGAGAACCAAGCGGCGGAGGAGGACATGCCCACCGCATTCCCATAGTAATCGGATGCGTACTGTGCATATGGAAACTGACTTCTGGAAGGAACGGAACAAATGGGGAGAACAACTTGGTTAATTGAGTGTCTGTGTCATTTGTATAATTTCTATATTAACTTTTAATTGTATTGCATTAAGTGCAGTGCTTTCATTGCTGTTTTTTTTTTTAGATTTTTATCCAGCGATCATTAGCCGTTTTGAAATGTTTAATTAATCGCTTTAAGCACCATTTGTCCCTGTCATTAGAAGCTGACACCTTTCCACTAATGGCCAAGATCGTTATACGTTATAAAGCGTTAACACAGTGCTCAATAAATTGTGCTCCATGGTATTCAAATCAGTCTGGATATTGCGATGCATTCAGATTAACCTATAATTTTCGCTGTCTGGATGCGGGATCTATATTTATGATCCACTACTTGATAATCGTTATTAGATCTTTAAATTAATGGAATAAGTAAACTTAAGTAATATATTACATTTGTAATAAATGTGTGAACAAACATGTTACTCCAAGTTGCTTGCTTTTAAATTGGAAGCTATTTAAGATGCTTAAATGTTGTACGGATCTGTTATTGAGACTTTTTCTTTGACTTGCAGAATTAGTATAATTCTACCTTAGTTTTCTTTGAATTAAGATCATATATAAATGCCTTTTTTATGTTTCTACGATTTTTGTGAGGGTTAACTCTTTGTCTGATCACCTCTTCAAGATTGATTTCTAGTTCTAACTGTATTGTCGGAATATTTACCTTGCTGGCCCCAATCCGGAGTAGGCGGTATTCCAACCGTAGGCGGCACTGGCGACCGCCGCTGCTCCGAGGTCCGCTGCTGCCGCTGCCGCAGCTGCCGCCGCTGCTGCCGCCGATGCGGAGGCGGCCGACGATGGCGACGAGGCCGTCGAGGAAGTGGATCCCGATGCGGAGATGGATGCGGATGCTGATGCGGATGCGGATGCAGAACCGGAAATGCCACCCGCCGATGCCGTGGGCGGTGGGGCCAAGGTCGTTGTGGGCGTGGAAGGACTCGCCGAAATGGAGGCGAACGACTGGGCGGGCGAGGGGAAGATGCTGGGCGAAACGGAGGCGGACGAGGGCGCCGACTGGATGCTGGAGTTCGGCGACGCTGTGCCCGTGGAGGAGGCCTGCGGATATGGAAGCTCCAGCTTCATCGGCGGCTTGCCGTACAGCGGCGAGCTGCCGGAACTCGATCCGGAACTCGATCCGGAGAGGGACGAGGGGGCGGACAGCAGGGCGGCGGCGCTTAGGAAGTCGTGTTGCTGCTGTTGCTGTTGTTGCTGTTGCTGTTGCTGCGGCAAGTGTGATTGTTGCATGTGTTGCTGCTGCTGTTGCTGCTGCTGTTGCTGTTGCTGCTGTTGCGACAATTGCAGATGATGATGCGCCTGCTGCATGTGAAGATGGTGCTGCTGCTGTTGCGCCGCCTGCTGCTGTTGCGCCGCCTGCTGATGCGCCTGATGCTGATGCGCATAGGGATTCAAGTAGTTGCACGCCGCATCGATCATGTTGAAAAGCTCTCGATAAATGTGACTTGCTCCTGTTGCGATTTGCTACTGCTACTGCTGTTGCGTTGCCTTTTTTTGTTTTGCTTCTGCGTTCGTTAGCAATTTTCGCACATTGCTCTCGCACTTATTGATATTGCTCGTGTAATTATGGCACGCTTTTCACTTTAGTTTTATAATTATAGTCTTTTGTGCAGCACACACACGTAATTGCATGCACACGCGGAGGAGAACACGGAAAAAACACAAACAAATTAAAGGCGACCGAAAAATTCGCCAATGTGCATATATATATATATATAGATTGGGGGGATATATATGTGCGTATATATATATAGATCCGAAAACGGGCGAGTTTCTCTGCCGCTGTTTGCTGCTGCTGCTTGCTGCTGCTGCGCGTGATGTGATACAACCACCGGTAATTATCGTCGATTGTTGACTGAATTCCAAAACGCGGCGAGAGAGTCTAACAACGTACAAAACGAATCACTGGCTGCGGGCAGAGGCGCGGGCAGCGGGCAGCGGCAGAGGCAGCGCTCGTGCTGTTTCCCTCTTACGCTCGCCGGCCTGAGTCGCAGCGCTCGCTCTAGCTCTCTCGCTCTCCCGCGCTCTCGGGCGCCCAGCCATGGTGGTTGTTTTTGGCCAGAAACGGTGCCCCGAGGGGATACTCTCTTTGTCTCGCTCCCACGACTGCATTGGTAATAGGGGCTTTTAGCCAAGAGCGCTCTCTTGCTCTCCCGCTCTCGCTAAAGAGATTCTCTCCATTCGATGCTGCTGCTTTCTGCTGCTGCGTTGGTTTTTGTTGTTGCCATTGCAGAATGCTGCTGCCGCGGGCGTTTTGTTTTAATTTCTATGTGTGGGTTTGTGTGTCAAAGCAATTGGGTGAGCATGAGTTTGTTGTTGTTATTTGCAACTCCTTTGATGTTGTTCTTGTTGCTGTTGTTGTTCTTAGTGCTCATATTGCAATCTGTTGTTGTTGTACCTGTAGTGCAACTTAAACTTTAAGTCAACATATTGGATTATCTTAAAGCTAAGTCCTTTTGACCAAAAGTTTTTCATTTAACTGATTTTATTTTTTTTAATTTATGAGTTCATACTTAAAAAGTTTTAAAAATTACATTCAAAATTGTGTGCAGTTTTTAAAACCCTTTAAAAATGTATAGGTTTTGATTAGGTCACACAATCCTAAATTGTTAATATTTTACTTTCCAATTTTCGCCCCCGATATTGGATGGGCTATAAATTACTCGGCTTTTTACACATTTCCAGTACCCTCCATTATAAACACGAATATCTGCTTAAGTTCCCATAACCCATTTAGCCCCCACCATTTCACATGCTTCAATTTGTTTCGACGAAAGTAAGCAGACAGAAAAAAGCATGGCTCATCATTTTAATTAAATTAAAATTTCGGTTTAATGGCATTTAATTTTTCACTTTGCTCAAGAGAACACCGAATGCAAGAAGAAGAAGGGAAGGGTATGGAATGGAGAAAAAGAAGAAGAAAGGGAGCGGGCATAATTCAAATATCAATACAATAACAATAAAAACTAATAAATTTGTGGTCGCGGCCCAATGAAATAACTGTATTTAAAGGGGCGTTGACCAAACACCACCACAAAAGAGACACCAGCTCTCTCTTTCGCTCTCTCGCTCTTGCAGGCCAAGTGTTAGTGTGCGTGTGTGTGTGTGTGTGAGCCACATATTAATCACAATAGTAGCTGTTGTTGTTGTTGTTATTGCTGGTCCCTTTTTATTATGCGGCGTCTTTTTTATTACGCATACGCAACGTGGGCCCAGGCCACAAATTTTACGATTTGCTGCTGCTGTGAAAAGATAATGATGACTCCCAAAACGAAACGAGCAATAAAAATTGCATTTCGACTTGGGAAGTACCTCTAGAATTTTTCGTGGCGCCCTAAATTGATATTTAGCAGATATTACCTATTTAAAATATAAATAAATTAAATTATTATGAAAAATTGTATGCCATTAGATATTGTTCACCTGTGTTTGGTTCCCAAATATATATCAACATAAGTTAAACCGTTAAATTTAAAAATCTTCAGATTTTTCTAAGCTACAGCAAAATAGCGGGTTGTGCAATTTATTTAACGATAGTTTTAATGATACCTAAAAAGGTATTCTTTGAGTAAAAGGCTCATTGACTAAAACGCCCTATTTTATTAGCAAAAGCAAAGTGCTCCTAAAACTTATACGCCCTACCTGGGCTTTATGGGGTATGCGACTGGGACTTCTGGGCAACGTGTAATGAAACGGAAGATACAATTATATCGAGGCAGCCGAGACAACAACAAGGAGCCTGTCTCGTGCTGCTTCTTGCCCCTCTTGCCACGATTCTTCCTGCCCCGCAGTTGCTTGCTGGCTCTTTTGGCTACCGAAGATTTATGACAATGCTGAAGTCAACTAGACTTGAAGACCGTCTGCCCCAGCCCCTCCCCCTTTTCCACCCCGTGCCCAGCCCCCTTCCCCTCTCATTCTCGCCTCCTTTTCTCGAGTCCTTGTCCTTGTTCTTGTCCTTGGGCCACAGCGTCGCCGCATAATCAATTAGCAAAAAGTCGACAGCAACAGCAAGGAAAGTTCCTACTATCCCTATATACCCAACGCCCACCAAAGGACACGCCCACTTTTTCGTACCACTAGGTCAATTGGAGTTGGAAAATCGTTTAGATTTCCCTGAGCTAAAAATAGTATTTGGTGGAGAATAAATTATAATAGCTTACAGAACTTAAAGGAAATTTTGAAAAATAGTAAAAGAAATAAAATAAAAGTATTTATTCTTAAAAGTTTAAATTGAACATATAAAGTATTTAATCCGAATATGAAGTGCTTTAAATATCGCCTGGATATCTTTAAATCTGTCAAAATATTGTGCAAAATGTGTGCTAATCTATTTTGAGGAAGTGATTTCAGATATAAGGCCAAGATCGATCCGTTCAATCCACTGCTCAAGCCCAAAACACACAACCCTACATTAAATCGGTAGATCTGTTCCGATCCGATCGGATCCGTGGCTATAATCAATTGATTAGTCGCGACGAGCCCACCAAACAAGGCGGAGATCAGTGAGTTCAGGTAGAGATCGCTTGGCATTTAAGCCGGGCTTAAGCTGGAAAAGTTTTGACTTCGTCGCATCAAAGCTCCTCATCCGCGGGATTTCTCGCTGGATCAAGTTTAATCCTGAAAGCGGACGAACCCGCCAGGATTATGGCATTTTGTTTTGCTACCTAGCCCCCTACTCGGTTACGCCTGAATCGTAATTATTGATTCTCGATCCGGATCGCAGTTCTCTGCCGGATTAATGCGATTTCTTCCAGTGGTTTGCACTCGGAGAAACTTTGTTTTATTCGCTTTCCATTATTTTGTTTCTAGGCGTTTTTTTACTATGAACATATTTTTGTTTTATGAATTAAAACTAACATTAAATGCTTAGTAAATCAGAAAGTATAGTACACTATTTTATATATATTTTTGACGTATTTATAACCAATACTTATTATGCTAGTTTTTTATAAATAACACTCATTTAAATCAATAATTTAATTTCAAACTTTATTTCATAAATGAAACTCGTGTTAGGGGTTGACTATAGTAACTTCTTGACTCATTTACATGCCACAAACCAGTCGACTGTTCTCCAAGTGCACATATATGGCTCTCGCATCGGGTTTTGGTGGTCTCGGATTAAACCGCACCCTTCTGGTCGCTCCTGTGGGTTGCCCTCGGTGGGTGGGTGGTTGGCTGGGTGGTTGCGCCGCTGCCGCGGGGTGCCATAAATGCATAATCCACGTTTTACGATCGCTTAGCAGGAAAAGTCAAGGGATCGTCTGCGGTAATCCGAAAGAGAGAACCGAATGCCACGGCCAGGTAAGGCGAGGAAAGTTCAATTGAAATGCTCGGGCTCGTAATCCTTAACCCTGCCGCAAACCTTTCGATGCCTTAACCCGTTATGCAGATTTGTGTTAATTGGATTTAGTGGGATTTTCGCATCTAAATCCTTTCACTGTCTGCAAATATTTTGGCCTTTCTAGCATCTTCGCTTCGTTCTTCGCCGGAGATTAGATTAATCTCCGGGGGTTTTTCGCCAATTGACTTTCGTATATCTCTTCTTGTCCCCGCATATCTACCTATCGCTAACTATCTTTGACTTCTCTGCTCAATCTCTGACTTTCGCAAACGTTGATCTGGGTTTTGGAACTCTGTCTTTTGGCCTGTCCTCTAATTTTTGAATTTAAAATTTTATTTAACATTTGTATTTGGTTTCTCTTAATATCTTCTTTCAATAAATATGTTTATAATAATTCTTTACTGATTTCTAGAGAAATTAAAAGGTACATAAATTTGTATTTTAAAAACAGCGATGTAAAACTAGTTTAATTTCCCTCAGAAATTATTTGTTTTAACAAAACTCCTACAAAAAAGTTTGAAAACAATGAAAATATACAGATATCAAGTGGAATCTGAAAAGTTAGACCTGCTGCCTGTTTTTTTTTTTTTGCTGGCATTATCTTTATCCACGAGATGCAACAGCTGTCGAAGGAATTCATCTGAGCAGATCCAGGCAACGCCCCCCTTATTTTCTTCACCCTTCCCTCCGTATATACAAATATGTATATGGTATATATACTCGACTTGCACGGCTGTTTGACGACAGATTGCGCAATCCTCGAACCTCATCGCAAGGTCGTGCCACGCCCCCTTTGACCTTTTTTCGGGGGCGCACTTGTGGCCATCACCCGGGATCTTCGGACTTCCACGGAATTCTCTAATCAAGCGGCAACGATGCAAAAAAAAAAAAAGAAGAAAAAAACACACAGGCGAACAAAAAACAATAGCATCAAACAATAAATTTTAATTTCAATAATAAATATTACCCTCCATGTGTGTGTGTTTTTTACTCTTCTCCTCTCTTTTCTTCTTTTGCGACGGAGCGTGTGTCTCCCAAGGAAGAGGGGAAGGGAGGGGGGAAACGGAGGAATGGATGGGGGAACCGCGAACAAGATATTAGAGATCTCCTCGGGGAACGTTTTGCACTAAAAATGTCAACAGCATCAATTTACAGCCCCTAAATAGGGGAAGAAAGAGAGGGAGCGAAGAAAGAGTGCCGAAACAAGGGGATTCTAACACTTCCCGGGAAATCACTCGGCCGAGCTCACAAAATCTCTAGATGACCGAAACTCGAGGCACTTGTTCTTACACTTGGGAAAAAATCTATTTCGGGCAGAACTCGTCTAAAAACATTTTGATTTCAGAAAGTAAACAAATGATACAGTTCATAGAGGTATGCCAATTATAAATCGGAGAAAAGATAGAAATGTTATAGGATTAGAAGTGCTGGGTTTTAGGCACTTTTCTGAAAACACTTTTTTTGCATATTTTGAAAGGTCGGGGGTTCCCAAAATTGATAAAACATCGACCAAAAATTAAAAATAAACTTATAATGCAGCTTGTTAGATATTTAAATAAAAAAATGTATAGAGGTATGCCACTTGTAAATCGGATAAAAACTAGAAAAGTTATGGGCACTTCTAAAGTGCGGGGATCTAATCAATTTTTTTGGAAATCCACTTGTGGCGAATTTTGAAATTCAACTAAAATATCGATTGAGTAGACCGCTTAAAAAATATTATTGATATTTCCCTCAGTGTATTTGAGAACAGGAGCTGTTCGAAGAGAAGCGGCGAAGAGAAGAGAAGAAGCCGCCGGTCGGACCGCCGCACAAATGGGGTGTCGAAATGATCATCAGTTGAGGGCGCCCCGCGGCGGTCCGCTCCTCTGATCTTCGCACCGCACGCCCCGCTGCGCTCCTCCGACGGCCAGGAGCAAGGAGAGAAAAGCAGAGACGAGCAGAGCAAAGGAGAAAAGGATCCTCGACCCCGAAACAGGACTCTCTGGCCCCTAAAAACCGAAACAGTGGCACAAACTGAGGAAAGGCCATCGGCCATGGGCCATGGGCCATGGGAAAAATCGATGTGATTTCGCTGTGTGTTTGCGAAATGCAGGCGACAAAGGTGCCAGGACAAAGGACAACTAATTGGTCCGATTCCAAATTGCGAGTCGCTGTTCTTTTGAGTCCTTAGAACCTGCCGCTGCTCCTTTGTCCTGGCTCGAGGCTTCTTGTGTCAGTCGGTGGGCACAACAGGTTCAAAGGGAATGCGACCTGTGCGACCGGCAATCAAAAATATTTATTTATTCCTCAATAAACGGAACCCTTAAACGGAATTTTTACTTCACCGAAAAACCACCTTATAAAATGGTTAGCAATAATACAAATCTAGAGTACGCTTACATGAACCTAAAAACTGCAAACATACAGTTTATAATAATATAATGGCATACCGTAAACATTTCCGAATGAATTTATAAGCCAAGTTATTATAAGCCAATCATTAATATTTTAAAAATTAAAAATTTTCAATGTTTTAAAAAACTTATGTTCTCGCCACTCTTAACCCGATTTCAAAGTAACACACCTCTAAAATTTTGTGATTGAATTCCTAAACGAACTGAATTTAAATTTTTCAAATCGATTTTGGAATCGAATTCAAAGTGGCACCCCTTTTAAAGTTTATGATTGAATTCCAAAGCATCGTGCGTTTAAATTTTTTATTCGAAGATGGTAATTTTTTGACTCTCTTTATTTTAAAAAATTTCCCAGTTTTTGATGAATTGCAAAAAAGTGACCCAATACTTCACTTGTAAATTGTCCAATCAATAAATTCTTTGACCCCTGCTCCTGTCAGATTTTTCCAAGTTTTCGTTGGACTTATTTATAATACTGCTTCACAATATTTTTATTTTATATTATTATATTTTTATCACTGTTGTTATTAAATTATGCTTAGCTTAAGGAATAATTTAAGATGCACTTTTTCCCTTTGATAACGTATTTTAAAAAGACAACAGCGCCACCTATCATCGAAACCGCTCACACGTTTCCAATTTTGGCCACAGTCTTCTACATTAATTAATAACTTTACATAGACGATAGAGGGCGTCCCATCTCTATATTTCCAGTGGGGTCGGAAACCTAGGATTGTTTCTGGATTTAGAGCCAAATCGATACTCGGAAATCGATAGACCGATATAATATTCTTAAATTTTAACATTTTTAACTTTAATATTTAACGGTCTTTCTGACACCATTTTATTAATGGATAAGCCCCAAAGTAAGTCTTTAAAAAAAATTTCTAACCCATTTTAAGCAAAAGCTCTGAATTGCAATTATACCGATCTTTTTCTGTTGATATTATATAAATATAAATAAACGGCATACAATAGCTAAAAAAAATGAAAAAGGTAGCTTAGCACTTTAAAGAAAGGTAGCCTAAACATTAATAGTGTCGGAAAGCGTGATTTTAATTATGTATTTACTTGGAAAAATATCTATTAACATTGCCAAGTTTTTCACGCGAAACACTTTACCGGGAAGAAAATATTGTGGATGAAAAGTGCTGAAAATGTGTAAAAAGGTTAAAAAACAAAAGCAATATAATAATTTTACTATAAGTCACTCAAAATTTAAGTACTGAACGCTGTACAGGTTGCGAAATGATTCTGCGTGATTTTATAGTACAGAGTAAAGGTCCAGAAAAACTACGATCACGCTTTTTGATATTTTTGTTATAAATGTTAAAGCCTCAAGGTAACTTTATTAATATAAAGTCCTAACCCATTTTAAGCAAAAGCTCTGAAAGTGCAATTTTAGCAATATTTTTGTGTTGATATTATAAAAATATAATTAAAAGGCATAAAATAGCTAGAAAAAAGGCTAAGTACGCTCTCTAGCTACAAAGTAACCAGAATGACAGTTCTGCGCCTCAGACGAATGCTAGCGCGAAGAAGAGGAAGAGAGGAGCGGCGCTGGGCAGAAAAAGAAAAGACGTGAAAAGGGGGGAAAATTGGCGCAAATTGTACACGCGAAGCGCAGCAGTAACGTCGTCGGATCTATCGGTTGGTGTTTTACGTGCTTTACGGCAAAATAAATGCCGCCGATTGCCAATGCCCCGGGAAAAATATCATAATTAAATAACCAGAGCCAGCGCATCTAGTGTTAAAAAGTCGGGCATTTATTCCCAATCGCAAAAGAGAGAACCAAATCTCTGGCACTCGCTGACCCGTCTCGCTTGAGTCTGGCGCGTGCTATCTCGCTTGCACTCACGTCACGTCTGCTAGCCAACCATATTGCCATCCCGCTCGTTTCGGTGACAACGTGTCGGTGTGCGTGCGTCAGTGTGCCAGAGTGCAAGCGTGTGAGTGCGCTGTGTATGTGCAACAAACAACGTCGGCCGCTAACAAAAAAAAAATTGTAAATAAATACGCCGTCGTTCGTCAGCGCGCGAAAATCGGTGGAAAAAGTGGTCGAAAGTTTACGGAAGAGCGGGCCCAAAACACAGAATTTTGGCCAAAAATCGGGCGGGAAACTGTGAACTAAAGGGGCATTTATTGAACAATTTGAAAATTAATTTGTTCTGTGCGTTGTTTGCATGGCCACCGGTTCGTAGGACAAGGACAACGATAGTGTTATCCTGTGGCGGCTGATTTTTCGGCTTGTTTCTCTCGCTCTCTCTCGGTGTCATTGTCTCTCGCGACCAAAAGCGCTCACACTGCACCCACTAGAAATGCGCAAACCCTAGTGACAGGTTACTTGCGCGCTCCTCCGTTACTTATTTTTTTTATCGATGATTATTAAACAATTTGTTTTTTGAGCTATTCATTTAAATATTTAATTGTATTGAATAGACCATGTAGGAAAAAGGGGAAAGGTTTTTATTGATTTTGTTGCCAAAAGTATTACATGTTTTCTAGCATGTTTGGGAAATTTGAAATTGATGCTTTGGTTATTGTACTAAAAAAATATTAAGTATTTAGTTTCCACACAATATTTTCTTTAAGATTTTTAAGCACACAAAAAAGCTTTGAAAATTCTAGCTTGATGGTATTGCTTTTTTCAAAGTGCTTCGTGCTCATTTTTCGTGACCAGGCAGTGATTGCGGCTGCATTAACGTATCGGTGAATGCGTCACCGGTAATGCGCATCTCTGAACTCGCTGTTTCGTTATCTGGCTCGCCATATGTGTGCGTGTGCTGCGCGTCGGCTCTCTGAGAGGCCTTAGCGTGAGCGGACTCGTCACCGTAAAGAGCGAGAGAGTGAGCGGAGCAGACTCTTGACAGAGGTTAACAGCTGTACAGGGAGCCAACAGAGTGCTAACTGCCGCATTTGTATGGATTTTGGACCGTAACAGCGGACCAACAGTGAGAGAGTGACGAGAGCAGAGCGAGAGCGGGCACTCGCGTGTTGTGGCACACAGTATATTTTAGTGAATTTTCTTGCTCGACGGTGTATTTGAACGACCAGCCGCGGTCACACTGAAGCAAAAACATTTTTGGCTCGGAGAACGATTAACACAAGCGGACTGAAATTTTTTTGTTTTAGTGTTGCGAAAAAGTTTGTGGGATTTTTCTAAAATCGCCGGAAAATGTGAAAAATATATGGTACAAAACCGAAATTCGGGAAAATTCTAAAGAATATTTAGAAATTTAGTGCGTGGCAATTGGTTGTGTTGTTAAAATTCGAAACCGGGCCGCAATGTGGCCGAAATTTTTTTCGAATTTTCTACGGCATTTTCTGGAATTTCGTATTTTCTTCAAATAATTTTGCGATTTTTGTGCGGGCCGGGAAAAATAAAAAACGCCTTGGCGGAGACAACACAAAAAATTTCTGCAATAGAAACTTTGAAACGACGTGAAGAAGAAAACGAAACGAAAACGACGAGCGAACACAGAAAAAAATGGAATATATTTCTGTCGTCTGTTTTTCTTTCTTTTTCCAATGCTCCTCGCACTCGTTGCCGCTTACCGTCGTGTGTGTATGCACACAAATGCCGCTTGAGCACCAATACCACCATACGCTTTCTCTCTCGGACTCGTGTTTGCTCGCTACGGACTCGCTACCTGGCTCTGGTGTGCGTGTGTTTGAGTGTGTGTGCGTGTACTTGCGCTGTTGTGTGTAACCGTGTGGTGAAAACGTCGTTGGCGTCGCTGTGAGAATTCTGTACGCGCGCCCCAAAACTCTCAATGTGTGCGTGTGTGTGTGAAAGCTTTTGTCAGCCAACAGCCCCACTACTAGTGTCGTCCCGTTCGCACCCCACTCGCCACTCGCCGCCCCATCAAATTGAATTTCATATGATGGCCGCTCGAATGCGGAAGCAAAACCAAAATACGGCCACTTTTTCGGCCATTTAAAATGTAAATGGGACTCTGATCTACAGGCTAAGCCGGTTGGCATTTCTAGTTGACTTTAACAGTGCTCTGCCATTTTTTTTTAAGCCGTTGAAAAATATTTTTTTCTCCCTAATGTTAAACCCTTGCAATTCAAGATTATTTTCTCCTTTTATTTCTTTATAACTTTGGCATTGCGGTGGCACTTGTTTCGGGGCCCTGGCGGCAAAATAAATTTTATTATTTTCATTTTTGTGGTGTGCACCACTCGCAGAAGAGCGAGAGGCCAACACACGTCCACACGTCTGGGAGCAGAACAGCGAGTACAGCGCGTAGTATTGGCGAAATAAAATTGCGAGACAAGAACAGTGAGAGAGAGCGTGTGGTCGTCAAGCGGCGCAAAGAAGAGCGCAACAACGAGAACAAGAGAATTCTAGTTCCCATTCTCCCTTTTCGCCCTCTTTTCGTCTCGTTGCGTTTCGTTTTCTTTCCCTTTTCCCCGCCCGTTCGTTTCGCTGACCACTCGCGCGCGGCTAAAAAGAAAATAAATAAATATTGCTTTCAATATTTTCGTGTGTGTTTCAATAATCTAATAGGCAGTATTGTTCTTCTTGTGCGTTTACAGTTTATGTGCAATGTTAGAGCGGCAAACGGCGGCAGTAGCAGCAGCAGCAACAACATCATCAACATTAGCATCAATAACAACAACAGCAAACGCCAGCAACAAAAACAAAAACAACCGTAACACAACAAACCCAACAACAGCCAACAATGTGAATTGCTTCTTTTTTTTTGTATTGTAAACGAAACCCGAATCAAGTGCAGCAAAATAAAAAGAATACCAAATAATTTGTACACACGCATATATAATAATATATATATTTAACGAGCGGATTCGAAAAAAGCCGCCAAAAAACAAATCACAGAAAAGATGTAAGATAGCGGATAAAACGGCGGATAGAAAAGGGAGAGACAGACGCCGAAGAGAGAGCCAAGCAAAACAACCGTTATTTTTCGCTCAGTGGAGGCAGGCAGGCAACAAACAACAACAAACAAACAAACATCATTGCCGCCCAGCCAAGGTCAACTTTTGGTGTTTTTGGGGCCCAACAACACAAAATGCACGCGTGTGTCTGCTGCTGTTCGACAAACAACAATTGCAACAACAAGATTAACAACAACAAAGACGGCAGCAGCGGCAACAACAACAACAAGAACAACACCAGCAGCGACAGTGGCATCAACGAATTGCAGCTAGAGAAGCACGAAGAAGAAGCGGTACAAGCCAAGCGGGAAGAGAGGAAGAGGCAGCAGCAGCGGGAAGAGGAGGAGGAGCAGCGGAAGCGGGAGCGGGAGGAGTTGTCAGCTGGCCAAAGAGCCAGTGGCGGCGACAACGACAACGATCTCAACGGCGCCGCAACGAGGAGGCGGTGGTGGCGGCTGCGCGGTCCTTCAGGATCAGCGGAAGCGCAAGTGGAAGGAGGAGCAGAGGGAGGCGCGGAAGGAGGAGAATCTGAAGCGGCAACGACGACGACGACGTGGTGTCCACCACCAGGCGTCGTTGCGGTGACGATAGCGCCGCCCACGTTGTTGCTGTCGTTGCAGCGCCAATTGATCAGCAGCAGGAAAACAGCAGCAACAGCAACAGCACCATCAAAATCCTTAGCAACAACCACCTCAGCAGCAGCAGCAACAACAACAACATCATCAACAACAACAACAAGAAAAGCAACAAAAGCAACCTCCTCCGTTGATTGCAAAATCCAATACAAATACCAAAACCAAATCCCAATCCTCGCCAGCCACGCCTTTTGAGTGCCTCTTTTTTCTCTGTGTGTGTGTTGTGTGTTGTATGTGCGTTACGTGTGTTGCAAAGTGTCCAAAACAACAACAACAAAAAAAGAAGAAGAAGAAGAAAAAACAAAACAAAAATCAAATCTAACTAAAACCCTAAAACACTGAAACAAAAACCTTCTGGCAACCTGTGCAACAACTGTCAAATCTGAAAGCCAACAAGCACAAGCTCCTGGATATAGAAAATCAGTTAACAACGGGACTTCAACGTTGTCGGGACAAATCAAGAGACAAACACAAACAACAAAAAAAAAAAAAAAAAAAAAAAAAAAAATCAAAGAACTAATTAAAGCACCCAATTGAAAAGGAAAACCAACTCGAAATAAACAATCGGTGAACTGAGGAACGCTTTTCTCCCCCGAAATAATTTCCTTCGGTTATCCAAACGTTCGTTTTCGGGACAACTTTTTTCGCTTTTCGTTTTCGTTCTGTGGATTCGCGTGCGTCCACGACGGAACAATCCAACTAACTCTATATGATGGCCGATCACTTAGACGAACCGCCCCAAAAGCGGGTCAAAATGGATCCAAGTGAGTAAATCTAGAAGTGTACACTATTTACAGTTAACCCGTCCTGACAGGAGAAAACAAAATCACAGCACGACTTGATCTTTTTTTTTTGTGAATTACTTGTTAAAACTAAAAAGTTCTTGGAATTATCGAGGAGTTTTTGGAACAAAAGCTGTAAAAATGTATCGTAATTAAATAACACCTCTTACAACATAACATAATTTATTGGTTCCACGTTAAATTAAATTTTAACTTTAACTTTCAACAAAAGCTAATTAATTTTCTTAATTCAATCGGGAGTATAGTATTTATTTCACAATTTTCGACGATGAATCATTTAGTGTTTTGAATACCAATTAAGTTAACATTTTGTCTCAACCCAATCCTGTTCTGCTTTCCCCCTCAGCGGATATCTCCTACTTTCTGGAGGAGAACCTGCCGGATGAGCTGGTGTCCTCGAACAGCGGCTGGTCGGATCAGTTGACCGGCGGCGCTGGTGGCGGCAATGGAGGCGGCGGTGCCTCCGGCGTGACCACAAACTCCACATCGGGACCCAATCCCGGCGGAGGGCCCAACAAGCCGCCCGCCCAGGGACCCGGAGGACCTGGCTCCGGACCCGGTGGCGTCGGTGTCGGTGGTGTGAATGTGGGCGTCGGCGGTGTTGTCGGCGTCGGCGTTGTGCCTTCCCAAATGAACGGAGCCGGCGGCGGCAACGGTTCCGGAACTGGCGGCGACGATGGCAACGGCAACGGCACCGGCACGGGCAACGCCAACAGGATCAATCAGATGCCCCACCACCAGCTGCAGCACCTGCTGCAGCAGCAACAGCAGCAGCAGGGCCAAAAGGGCGCCATGGTCGTTCCCGGGATGCAGCAGCTGGGCAGCAAGTCGCCCAATCTGCAGTCACCGAACCAGGGCGGCATGCAGCAGGTGGTGGGCACGCAGATGGGCATGGTCAACTCGATGCCCATGTCGATATCGAATAACGGCAACAACGGCATGAATGCCATACCAGGTAAGTCTTCAATCGGATACCTCTAAAATCAATCCAACTTCACTGCAACTTGAACCCAAATGAAACGTATGATAACCACGTTCCTTGCTCTTGTTTCTCCCGCAGGCATGAACACCATCGCCCAGGGCAATCTGGGCAACATGGTGCTGACCAATAGCGTTGGCGGCGGCATGGGCGGCATGGTCAACCAGCTGAAGCAGCAGCAGCCTGGCGGCGGCGGCGGCGGCATGATCAATGCCGTCTCGGTGCCCGGCGGCCCAGGAGGACCCGGCTCGGGACCAGGAGGCGTTGGTGTGGGCGTGGGTGTCGGTGCCGGCGGCGGCGGTGCCGTAACCCCCAACCAGGGCATGCACATGCAGAACGGCCCCATGATGGGTCGCATGGTCGGGCAACAGCACATGCTACGCGGTCCACATCTAATGGGCGCCGCCACAGGAGCCGGCGGACCTGGCAATGGACCCGGTGGCGGAGGACCACGCATGCAGACGCCCAACATGCAAATGGGTGAGTTTCGATCGGATTTACTTAAAGGAAACGCTTTATAAAGTATCCTTCCTAATGCTTCGCAGGCCAACTCAACAGTCTGCCTTATGGAGTGGGTTATGGCGGACCCGGCGGCGGTAACAATCCGCAGCAGCAACAGCAGCAGCAGCAACTGATCGCCCAGCAGATGGCCCAGCGCGGCGGCGTTGTGCCGGGAATGCCGCAGGGCAATCGGCCAGTCGCCACCGTGGTGCCCCTCTCCACCTTGGGAGGCGATGGCTCCGTGCCCACTGGCCAGCTGGTTAGCGGGAATCCGCAGCAGCAGCAGCAGCAGATGCTGGCGCAACAGCAGCCCGGTGCGATGGGTCCCCGACCTCCTCAGCCGAATCAGCTGATCGGGCATCCCGGACAGCAGCAACAGCAGCAGCCGGGAACGTCGCAGCAGCAACAGCAGCAGCAGCAGCAGGGCGTGGGTCTCGGCGGAGCCGGTGGCGTTGTCACCGGTGCGGGAACGGTGGCCGGTGTGCCGGCAGTCGCTGGCGGCGGCGCCGGCGGTACGGTACAAGCAGTCGGTCCCGGCGGCGGCGGCAATCGCGACGTGCCCGACGATCGCAAGCGCCAGATCCAGCAGCAGTTGATGCTGCTGCTCCATGCCCACAAGTGCAATCGCCGCGAGAACCTGAACCCCAACCGCGAGGTGTGCAACGTCAACTACTGCAAGGCGATGAAGACGGTGCTGGCGCACATGGGCAGCTGCAAGCAGAGCAAGGACTGCACCATGCAGCACTGCGCCTCCTCGCGCCAGATCCTGCTCCACTACAAGACGTGCATGAACAGCAACTGCATCATCTGCTACCCCTTTCGCCAGAACCACTCCGGTCCGGGCGGAAATGCTGGACCGGCGCCCGTTGGAGCCGCCGGCGGCGGTGGAGCAGGCGGTGCTGGTGGCAATCTGCAGCAGCAACAGCAGCAGCAGCAGCAGAACCAGCAGGCCAATCTGACCGGCCTGGTGGTGGATGGGAAGCAGCAGGGACAGCAGCAGGTGGCACCGGGAGGAGGTGGTCAGAACACTGCCATAGTGCTATCCCAGCAACAGGGAGCGGGCGGAGCACCCGGGGCGCCCAAGACGCCGGCGGACATGGTGCAGCAGCTGGCCCAGCAGCAGCAGCAGGTCCATCAGCAGCAGGTGCAGCAGCAGCAGGAGCTCCGTCGCTTCGATGGCATGGGCCAGGTGGGACTATCGCCCGTTCCCGCCGGCGGAATGCAACAGCAGGGTCTGCCGCCCGTGATTCGCATGCAGGGCGCCCAGCCGGCTGTTCGCGTTCTGGGACCAGGCGGTCCCGGCGGACCAGGCGGTCCCGGCGGACCAGGCGGACCCAATGTCCTGCCCAACGATGTGAACAGCATGCAGCAGCAGCAGCAGCAACAGATGCTCCAACAACAGCAGCAGCAGCAGCAGGGCCAGAACCAGCGACGCCGCGGTGGCCTGCCCAACATGGTGGAGCAACAGCAGCAGCAGCAACAGCAGCAACCCAATCCCGCCCAGCTGGGTGGCAACATTCCAGCACCACTCTCGGTCAACGTCGGTGGCTTCGGCAATGCCAATTTCGGTGGCGGTGGCGCCGCCGGCGGCGGTGGAGCCAATGACAAGCTGAAGGTGGCCCAAGTGCATCCGCAGAGTCACGTTGTTGGCGCCGGTGGCGGAGGAGGAGCGGCCACAGCGCCCGGCGGCGGTGGTGCGGGTGGCGGCGGTCAGGTGGCCGCCGGATCGAGTGTCCTCATGCCCGCCGATACGACGGGCAGCGGTGGCAACGCGGGCAATCCCAATCAGGGCGCCGCAACGGGAGGAGCAACTGGCGGAGGCGGAGTTCCCGGCGGTGGCGGCGGCAATGGTGGGAGCGCCGGAACGGCCGGCGACAACGAGAAGGACTGGCGGGAATCGGTGACCGCCGATCTGCGCAACCATCTCGTCCACAAGCTGGTGCAGGCCATCTTCCCCACCTCGGATCCCACCACCATGCAGGACAAGCGGATGCACAACCTCGTCTCGTATGCGGAGAAGGTCGAGAAGGACATGTACGAGATGGCCAACTCCCGTTCCGAGTACTATCACCTGCTGGCCGAGAAGATCTACAAGATCCAGAAGGAGCTGGAGGAGAAGCGGCTGAAGCGCAAGGAGCAGCACCAGCAGCAGCTGATGATGCAGCACCAGCAGCAGGGCGGAGTTGCCAATCCGGTGGCCGGCGGCGGCGGTGGAGCAGGAGGAGCAGCTGGCGGTGGAGCCGGCGGTGCAGCGGGCGGTGCGGCCGGAGTGGTTCTCTCGCCGCAGCAACTGCAGCAGCAGCAGCAGCAACAGGGCCAGCAGCAACAGCCGTTGCAGAGCTGCCTCCATCCGAGCATCAGTCCGATGGGCGGAGGAGTGATGCCGCCGCAGCAGCTGCGTCCGCAGGGTCCACCCGGCATCCTCGGCCAGCAGACGGCGGCCGCTCTGGGCGTCGGCGTGGGTGTCGCCAACAACATGGTGGCCATGCGCAGTCACTCGCCCGGCGGCAACATGCTCACCCTGCAGCAGCAGCAGCGCATGCAGTTCCCGCAGCAACAACAGCAGCAGCAGCAACAGCCGCCCGGTTCTGGAGCGGGCAAGATGCTCGTTGGCCCCCCAGGACCCAGTCCCGGTGGCATGGTGGTCAATCCGGCGCTGTCGCCCTACCAGACGACCAATGTACTGACCAGTCCGGTGCCCGGACAGCAGCAACAGCAGCAGTTCATCAATGCGAACGGCGGCACTGGAGCCAACTCTCAGCTGAGCGAGATCATGAAGCAGCGACACATCCACCAGCAGCAGCAGCAGCAGGCGCAGCAACAGGCGCAACAGCAGCAGCAACAACAGCAGCAGCAGCAGCAGGGAATGTTGCTGCCGCAGTCGCCGTTCAGCAATGCCACGCCCCTGCAGCAACAGCAGCAGGCTACCAGCAACAGCTTCAGCTCTCCGATGCAGCAGCAGCAAGGGCAGCAGCAGCAGCAGCAGCAGCAACAGCAACAGCAGCAGCAGCAACAGAAACCCGGAAGTGTGCTGAACAACATGCCGCCAACGCCGACGAGTCTGGAGGCACTGAATGCGGGTTCCGGAGCGCCTGGAACGGGAGGATCCTCCTCGAATGTAACGGTTTCAGCTCCCAGTCCATCGCCCGGGTTCCTCTCCAACGGACCATCGATTGGCACACCCTCCAATAGCAACAACAACAGCAGCAACAATAACAATAACAACGGCAGCAGTGCGAACAACAACCCGCCTTCGGTGAGCAGTCTGATGCAACAGCCGCTGAGCAATCGTCCCGGTTCGCCACCGTACATACCCGCCTCCCCAGTGCCGGCGACCAGTGCCTCTGGCCTGGCGGCCAGCAGTACGCCCGCCTCGGCGGCGGCCACGTGTGCCTCCAGCGGCAGTGGCAGCAACAACAGCAGCAGTGGCGCCACCGCAGCGGGCGTCAGTTCGGGCGGCTCGTCATCTGCCTCGTCAGCGGGCTCGGGTACGCCACTCAGTTCTGTGTCCACACCCACGTCCGCCACGATGGCCACGAGCAGCGGTGGCAACGGAGGAGCAGGCGGAGGAGCAACCTCTACGACGGCAGCTAGCAATCCCCTGCTCCTGATGTCGGGGGCAAGTGGAAGCGGAAGCGGAGCGGCGGGTGCCGCGACCACCACATCGACATCGTCCTCGTCCAGCAGTCGCATGATGAGCAGCTCCAGCAGTCTCTCCTCGCAGATGGCCGCTCTGGAGGCTGCGGCGCGGGACAACGACGACGAGACACCATCGCCATCCGGCGACAATACGAACGGCAGCGGTGGCAGCGGTGGGAACGCCGGTGGCGGCATGGCCTCCAAGGGCAAGTTGGACTCGATCAAGCAGGAGGACGACATCAAGAAGGAGTTCATGGACGACAGCTGCGGCGGCAACAACGACAGCTCTCAAATGGACTGCTCGACGGGCGGCGGCAAGGGCAAGAACGTGAACAACGACGGCACCAGCATGGTCAAGATGGAGATCAAAACGGAGGACGGTGCCGATGGCGAGGTGAAGATCAAGACGGAGGTGATGGACGTGGACGAGGCTGGCGGCTCCACTGCCGGTGATCACCATGGCGAAGGCGGCGGCGGTGGTGGTGGCAAGGACAACATCAATGGCGCTCATGATGGCGGAGCGGGAGGCAGTGCGGTGGACATCAAACCGAAGACGGATACGAAACCGTTGGTCCCCGAACCACTGGCTCCCAATGCGGGTGACAAGAAGAAGAAGTGCCGTAAGTTAAAGCTACTATTTATCGATACAATGGTTTGTACTTACAATTGGATCTTCCCAAACCCACAGAGTTCAATCCTGAAGAGCTGCGCACCGCCTTGCTGCCAACGCTGGAGAAGCTGTATCGCCAGGAGCCCGAGTCCGTGCCCTTTCGCTATCCCGTTGATCCGCAGGCTCTGAGCATTCCCGACTACTTCGAGATCGTGAAGAAGCCCATGGACCTGGGCACCATACGCACGAACATCCAGAACGGCAAGTACAGTGATCCCTGGGAGTATGTGGACGATGTGTGGCTGATGTTCGACAACGCCTGGCTGTACAATCGCAAGACCTCGCGGGTCTATCGCTACTGCACAAAGGTATTAACAACTGCATTGCTAACCGATCTCTGAGGAATGGAAACTAATTGCTTACCTATTCTTTGGCTTAGCTTTCCGAAGTCTTTGAGGCGGAGATCGATCCTGTGATGCAGGCATTGGGATACTGCTGCGGCAGGAAGTACACGTTCAATCCCCAGGTGCTCTGCTGCTACGGCAAGCAGCTCTGCACGATTCCTCGCGACGCCAAGTACTACAGCTACCAGAACAGGTATGTGTCGTATGTGATCCCATCTGGATACGATCCCCCAGAAATCCCGACCCACAACCCACTCACTCGCCAGTCGAGAGAAACTCTTTTGCTTGGCTCCGTTTCGTTTCTGTTTCTCTGTTTGATGTGAAATGTATAGTAGATAATCCGCCTGTTCCTGTTCGTTAACGAATGTATTTCTTCAATCCAGTCAGAGTTTTGCGATCAGAGAGGCCTGTTTCGGTTTTCAAAAGGATCTTTTTGAAACCAGTTTCTCGAACGAAAATGTACAAATATCCAAATTGATGTTTAGGCTGTATTTTAAAATGTGTTGAACAAGAAGTAAAAGCCAGAACAGGTCCTGTGATTTAGTTATGAACCGCTTGCTCTCAATGTTCGATGGCTGCTTTCAGCATCTTTATATCATATATAAAATGTCCGTTTTGTGCACTTATTTGATGGCTTCCGATCCTCGATCCTTTTGCCTCTTCCTCTTCCTCTTCCTTTCTTTTTCTGTGTTTTATCTGTGTGTGTGTTTTTTCCCCGATATTGCTGTGTACATGAAATTACAAATGTTGCACATTGCACAATTCAAGATTCGGAAACAAAAAATATACAAAACAGAAGAAAAAAAAACAATGACACACACACACGCACACACACGCCTTCCTTTAATGCTCCTTTAATATCCCTTAATATCGCCGCTTTTGCTGCTGCTTGATGCATCCCCTGATCCATCATGGCCATTAACTCCTTGGACTAGATCCAAAACAATCCGAATCCGATCCCTGGCTTCAGTCGAGGTTTAACATTCCACATTTTTCGAGTAGTCAGAACCGAGCAAAACGAACCAAAAACAAATAAATCGAATCCTTTTTGAAATAAGAACATGATCTGTACATTAAAACATAAATATTTTAAAACAGGTCTTGTATTTAAGCGGTTGAATATCCCAGGCTATTTATAAGTACTTTATAATATATAATCTTAAGTTCCTTAAATACATTTCTTGGGATTTTTAAGAAAAAAAATAACTAACATTGATTCCTTTTATCCCAACTAAAAGATCTGTTTAAAAGTTTAAACTTAATGGAATTTTAAAAACCGAATATCTTATGGATATATTTTTTCAAATCTTAATGATTTTGAAACTAAAAGTTCTGATGTACATGTATATAAACTGTAATTGAATCAAACTTTAAGAACAGATCGTGTTTCAATGTATCTCAGTTTGTTTATAATTATAAGATCGTATTATTCCTGGGATATTTAAACCCCTATAATGATTAACCCTTTAATTGTTGTATTAATGTGACAAAAATTCTAATGCAAATTAAATCACTCTTTTTGTTTCTTCCTTTCTTTCCCTTTTTTTCGTTTTTTTTTATTTATTCTCTCCCGCAACAACTACAACAAAAACCAAAATAATAATAATACCCGTTAATCTGTGTCGCCTCATAACTGTATTATTATTGCGTGTCTTTATCAATCTTTGTATCTGTGTGTACCATCTCTGTGTGTGTGTGTGATATGTGTGTGAAAATTGACACAAACAAAAATGGAAAAAAAACAACCACACTCACACACTCGCAATTGACCAAATGCATATAACCATCTCGCTTGCACGCACACCTGTACATCCGTACATCCGAACACCTGTACACCTGAACACCCATACACCTGTACACACGCCTGTGTTGTTGTGTTCCCTTTTTGGCTGCCATCTTCGAAATTTCGTCCATCAACTAAAAAACAAAATACAAAAATAAAACGCATTGCAAACGAATTACGAAAAATCAACCATACAAAAAACAACAGTCTAAAGGAATACGGTGTCGCCTCAAATAGATACACATACTGCCAAAAGTGCTTTAACGACATCCAGGGCGATACGGTCACACTGGGAGACGATCCACTGCAGTCGCAAACGTGAGTAAAAACCCCATTAAATAGAACATACTTAGTACACTTTCGAGTCATGGAATGGTTTTTCAACTTTTTAAATCTATAGAAAGTCAGTGATCAGTGATCAAAGATATAATCGTTTTAAAACCAGTAAAGGTATATTTAACAAAATATCAGTTAGTTCAGGTTCAGATTAGATCAAAGATACTTTGCAAATGAAGATTCTAGTTTGATATACAACCCCAACTGAACTAATCTTTAAATTTAAGTACTATAATAGGTATTTAAAAATGGTTTAAAATAACCATTCCAATGACTTCCCCTTTTTTTTGTCAATCAATCTATTTCAATCATTTAACCATTCAATTTATCATAATCAAATCTAGTCAAATCAAAAAGGACCAGTTCAAGGAGATGAAGAACGACCACCTGGAGCTGGAACCCTTTGTCGATTGCCAGGAGTGCGGACGCAAACAGCACCAGATCTGTGTGCTCTGGCTGGACTCGATCTGGCCGGGCGGATTTGTGTGCGACAACTGCCTGAAGAAGAAGAACTCCAAGCGGAAGGAGAACAAGTTCAATGCCAAGCGCCTGCCGACCACCAAACTGGGCGTCTACATCGAGACGCGGGTGAACAACTTCCTCAAGAAGAAGGAGGCGGGCGCCGGCGAGGTGCACATCCGTGTGGTCAGTTCGTCCGATAAATGCGTCGAGGTGAAGCCCGGCATGCGGCGGCGATTCGTGGAGCAGGGCGAGATGATGAACGAGTTCCCGTATCGGGCAAAAGCCCTGTTCGCCTTCGAGGAGGTGGACGGCATCGATGTCTGCTTCTTCGGCATGCACGTCCAGGAATACGGATCCGAGTGCCCGGCGCCGAATACGCGGCGTGTGTACATCGCCTATCTGGATTCCGTGCACTTCTTCCGGCCAAGACAATACCGTACGGCGGTATATCACGAAATCCTGCTCGGCTACATGGACTACGTCAAGCAGTTGGGCTATACAATGGCCCACATCTGGGCGTGTCCGCCGTCCGAGGGCGACGACTACATCTTCCACTGCCATCCGACGGACCAGAAGATACCCAAGCCGAAGCGACTGCAGGAGTGGTACAAGAAGATGCTCGACAAGGGCATGATCGAGCGCATCATCCAGGACTACAAGGACATCCTCAAGCAGGCGATGGAGGACAAGCTGGGCTCCGCCGCCGAGCTGCCCTACTTCGAGGGCGACTTCTGGCCCAACGTTCTGGAGGAGAGCATCAAGGAGCTCGACCAGGAGGAGGAGGAGAAGCGCAAGCAGGCCGAGGCAGCCGAAGCAGCAGCGGCAGCAAATGTAATTGATTTTGAATGACTTACTCAATCACTCACCAAGTTAACTTATTTATTTTTAGCCTTTTTGTATACGTAAATTGTTTGATTAACAACAGTTCAGTTACTTTTTTATTACTTATGTTTATTAAACTCTTCTGTAGCAATAACTATTCCATTTAGATATCTAATTAAATCATATTCCTTAACTGTTTGCAGCTCTTCTCGATCGAGGAGAACGAGGTCAGCGGCGATGGCAAAAAGAAGGGCCAGAAGAAGGCCAAGAAGTCGAACAAGTCGAAGGCGGCGCAGCGCAAGAACAGCAAAAAGTCCAACGAACACCAGTCGGGCAACGATCTCTCCGCCAAGATTTACGCGACCATGGAGAAGCACAAGGAGGTCTTCTTCGTCATCCGTTTGCATTCGGCGCAGTCGGCAGCGAGTTTGGCGGTAAGTGTTGCATCCTCGCAGCAACCTCGAACTTCAGGAGAAACTAACTTGGATATCTTCCCGGTTTCCGGTTTTACAGCCCATCCAGGATCCCGATCCGCTGCTCACATGCGATCTGATGGACGGACGCGACGCCTTCCTGACCCTCGCCCGCGACAAGCACTATGAGTTCTCGTCGCTGCGACGGGCCCAGTTCTCCACCCTGTCCATGTTGTACGAGCTGCACAACCAGGGCCAGGACAAGTTCGTCTACACCTGCAACAACTGCAAGACGGCGGTTGAGACGCGCTACCACTGCACCGTCTGTGATGTGAGTAATCCCAATCCGCTTTGTTCCCTAATACTTTGTTCACAATCATGTTCGCATCTGTGAACACTGATAAGACATGAGAGCTGTACATATAATTAATCATTATAAAACCGCCGTTTCATAGAGCTGGTTGTGTAGAGCGGATCTTTGCGAGAAACAGACAATAATTTACCCTTGTTTTATCCACTCCGCAGGACTTTGATTTGTGCATCGTGTGCAAGGAGAAGGTCGGCCATCCGCACAAGATGGAGAAGCTCGGCTTCGACATCGACGACGGCTCGGCGCCGGCGGATCACAAGCAGGCGAACCCGCAGGAGGCCCGCAAACAGTCCATCCAGCGCTGCATCCAGTCCCTGGTGCACGCCTGCCAGTGCCGCGATGCCAACTGCCGTTTGCCGTCCTGCCAGAAGATGAAGCGCGTCGTCCAGCACACGAAGAACTGCAAGCGCAAGACGCACGGCGGCTGTCCCATCTGCAAGCAGCTCATCGCCCTCTGCTGCTACCACGCCAAGCACTGTCAGGAGCAGAAGTGCCCCGTGCCCTTCTGTCCCAACATCAAGCACAAGCTCAAGCAACAGCAGCTCCAGCAGAAGTGAGTCTTCCCAACAATTAAATATATCTTTCTATAACACAAATGTGGCGAAGGATATATTAGATGCTACCATTTATGGCATTCTTTTAATCCATACATTTGATTAGGATATTTGTATGTATGTACATATAAACTTTGATATGCTTTACATATGACATGTCATGACATGTTATTTTTTATTGCCTTTATGACAGCTGTTTTTGTTTTTAATTTCTCAAGTGATGCACAGTCAACGATAGGCAGAAAATAAGAAATATACCGATAATACCAGACTTCTTTTTGCTCACCCCTAGTTGCAATGCTAAAACATTGTTATTTCGTCCGCCTTTCGAATCGGAAGCATCCTCCGTTTTTTAATTCTAAACTTTTTCCTGAGAAATCATTTTTATGACTATTTTAAATAAGATGCGCCGCCGGTTATCTTCGAGAGCAAAACTTCGCATTAGGTTGAGTTCAGCCTTTAGTCATGTTTTCGAAAATTATTTTTCTAACAACGCGCTTATCATCTTCTTTCCAGACTCCAGCAGCAGCAATTGCTGCGCCGTCGTGTGGCACTCATGTCCCGAACGGCGGCTCCGGCCGCTCTGCCCGGACCGGTGGCAGTCAGCGGATCAACGGTCGTCGCCGGCGGCGTTCCCGTTGTGGGAATGTCCGGCGTGGCCGTCAGCCAGCAAGTGATGCCGGGCCAGGCGGGCATCTTGCCACCGGGAGCTGGCGGCATGTCGCCGTCAACCGTGGCGGTGCCCTCGCCCGTTTCCGGTGCAGCCGGTGCCGGTGGAATGGGCGGCATGACCTCGCCGCATCCGCATCAGCCGGGCATCGGAATGAAGCCAGCCGGTGGTCACTCGCCATCGCCGCACGTCCTGCAGGTGGTGAAACAGGTGCAGGAGGAGGCGGCCCGCCAGCAGGTCTCGCACGGCGGTGCCTTTGCCAAGGGCGGTCCGATGGCGCCGCCCGGCATGAACCGTTCGATGGGCGGAGCCGGACCCAATCCCAATGTGGTCAATCAACTGGGCGGCATGGGCGTCGGCGTTGGAGGCGTGGGCGTCGGAGGCGTTGGTGTCGGTGGCGTCGGCGTCGGAGGCGTTGGCCAACTGGGCTCCGGTGGCGGTGGCAATCCCACTGGCGGCCCAGTTCCCGGCTCCGGCAACTGCGGACTGAACGTGCTGAACGCCAATCACCTGCTGCCCATGGATCAGTGGGGCGGTGGAGGCGCCGGCGGCGGAGGAGCCAATCCGGGCGGGGGAAATCCCCAGGCACGCTATGCGAACAATGCGACTGGAATGCGCCAGCCCACGCAGCTGATGCAGCCCAATCTGATGCAGCAGCAGCAGCAGCAACAGCAGCAGCAGCAGCAACAACAACAGCAGCAACAGCAGCAGCAGCAGATGATGGGCCTGGGCGGACCCAACCAGCTGGGCGGCGGACAAATGTCCGTCGGCGGACAGCACGGCGGCATGGGAATGGGCATGGGCGCACCGCCGATGGCCGGCACCGTTGGCGGAGTGCGTCCGCCTCCGGGAGCCGGCGGAGGAGGCGGTGGCGGCAGTGCCACCGGCCAAGTGCTGAACACCCAACAGCTCGCCCAGATCATGCAGAAGATCAAGAACAATCCCACCAACGAGAGCAACCAGCACATTCTCACCATCCTCAAGCAGAATCCGCAGATCATGGCGGCGATCATCAAGCAGCGCCAGCAGAGCCACCAGTCGCAGATCAATGCGGCGACGGGCGGCGGAGCACCTGGTGGACCCGGCGGCGGAGCCCTGCAGCAGCAGCAGACGGGCAACGGGCCGCAGAACTCGCAGCAGCAGCAGCAACAGCAGCAGCAGCAGCAACAGGTGCTGCAGCAGCAGCAGATGCAGCACATGATGAACCAGCAGCAGCAGGGCGGCGGTGGCCCCCAGCAGATGAATCCCAACCAGCAGCAGCAGCAGGTCAACCTCATGCAGCAGCAGCAACAAGGTGGACCCGGTGGACCCGGCAGCCTGCCGCACCGCGTGCCCAACATGATGCTGCAGAACCTGCCACCCAACATGTCGCCCGGCGTCTCCACCCAAGGAGGAATGGTGAGTGATCAAAGCGGATAATTCTAGATTTAAAACCAACCCATTTCTCAGTTTTTGTGAGTCTCTGTGAGTTCCAATCGGTAGCTTATAATGTATTCAATTTTGAGTTGAGTCATAAATTCTTGAGAAGCCAGCATTCAGAAACACAGTATATTTCAGCAGCGATAAGGTTGCGGTGGTTGCTGTTCATCCAGCTTTGAAACTCATATATGTAAAATGTTTATAGCAGCTATCAGGGAAATACCTACACACACTTTAATAGAGGGAGGAACCCAGAATGCAAACATATTATAGAGATGCTATAGAAATTAACGTTTCTGCTTGATGCAAAATAGTCCTTTGAATTGGTTTTATAGTAATTAAAGCTGAGGGATATCTAACAGAAAGATTGTAAAGACTGTAAAAGGTTATATACATATATAGAAATAGGTATTTATAACTAATGAAAACCCTTGGGACAAGAACCCCCTTCACATTTTCTCCTGAATTTGAATCATAACCTTCGACAACGAAGTTTACCCAATTTGTGAGTTGCGGCCTTTATACTGAGCAATTGTTCCCACCCCCCGTCTCAGGTGCAAAACCAGAACTGGAACAAGATGCGCTACATGCAGATGTCGCAGTACCCGCCGCCGTATCCGCAGCGCCAGCGCGGTCCGCACATGGGCGGAGCGGGACCCGGACCCGGCCAGCAGCAGTTCCCCGGCGGCGGCGGCGGCGGAGCCGGAAACTTCAATACGGGCGGTGCCGGCGGAGCTGGAGGCGTGGTCGGAGTGCCCGGCGGCGGTGGCGCCGTGCCCGGCGGTGATCAATACTCGATGGCCAGTGCGGCGGCCGCTGGCAACATGCTGCAGCAGAACCAGGTGGGCGTCGGCGTCGGTGTGGGCGTGGGCGTCGGAGTGGGCGTGAAGCCGGGACCCGGACAGCAGCAACAGCAGATGGGCGTGGGCATGCCGCCGGGAATGCAGCAACAGCAACAGCAGCAGCAGCAGCAACAACAGCAGCAGCAGCAACAGCCGCTGCAGCAACAGCAGATGATGCAGGTGGCCATGCCGAATGCCAACGCCCAGAATCCGTCGGCGGTTGTGGGCGGCGGCGGCGGGGGTGGACCCAATGCCCAGGTGATGGGCCCACCGACACCGCACTCGCTGCAGCAGCAGCTGATGCAGTCGGCCCGCTCCTCGCCGCCCATCCGCTCGCCGCAGCCGACGCCCTCGCCGCGTTCGGCTCCCTCGCCGCGTGCCGCTCCGTCCGCCTCGCCAAGAGCCCAGCCCTCGCCGCACCACGTGATGAGCAGCCATTCGCCGGCGCCGCAGGGCCCGCCGCACGATGGCATGCACAACCACGGGATGCACCATCAGTCGCCGCTCCCCGGCGTCCCCCAGGATGTGGGCGTGGGCGTAGGCGTTGGCGTCGGTGTCGGTGTCGGCGTTAATGTTGGCAACGTGGGCGTTGGCAATGCGGGAGGAGCCCTGCCCGACGCCTCCGACCAGCTGACCAAGTTCGTCGAGAGACTCTAGTGCAGCAGCAACAGCAGCGGAGGCAGCAGCAACAGCAACAGCAGCATAAACAGCAGCAACAACAACAACAACGGCAGCTACAACGGGTGGTAGCCACAGAGACTGAGAATGTCCACATATATAGAAGAAGAAGAACAACCGACGACCAACAACAACACAGCATCAATAATAATTAGAAGAAGAAGAAGAACAACAACCAACATCCGCCAGCAGGGATCACCAGTGTGTGTTAAACTTTATCGACTATAATATACTTAATACTTAATATTATTATTATTTTTTTTTTTCGAACACCGCACCCCTATTGTATAGCGTTATGATATAATTATGCCCGACAAATATCACACCTAATTTGTACTGTAGCTTAAGACATCCCCACCACCACTATAGAGATCCCCTATTTTAAGTCTAGGACAAAATTTGAACAAAGCATCTTGATTCGATTTCCATTTTTAAGTCCGCTCTAAAGCAAATATATATATCAATATATTTCGTATGCCCTAATAACACACAAAAACACACGATGTATTAATGAATGCAATTCCTTTGTTCCCACTCAAACCGAAAGTAGAAAGCTCTAGGAAATCATCGATCAGGATCAGGATCAGGATAAATGAGGATAAGGAGAGGGTGGTGTCGAGGTGGGTGACAACGTTTAAAACGTTGAGCGAAAGCTGACAACCTTTCCTTAGTGACTTAACTTTTAAGCAGCGAAAGTCGAGATGTGTTAAAACGTGTAAACATTATTTATTTTGTGACTCCGCCACGAGAAAAGCAGACGAACCAATGCCACTCAGTTGAAAGTTTGTGTGGAAAGTGAGTTAAGCAGGAGAAGGAGGAGAAGGATTAGGGCGTGTTGTAAAGTTGAATTAAGTTTTTTGTACCCTTGTAGTGTTGTAAGCCAGTGGACAGACGACAATGACGATGACGATGACGATAACGGACGTAGTTGATGACGACGCGACGCAATTCACCCGACCATCCGCATCCGCACAAGAAAATATATAGCCTATAGTGAACATGTGCCTGTTGGCGATCGGCAGTTGATTAAGTGCTCCTTATAGGAGCTTCAAATTTGGGAACACGCATAGAGTAAATACATATTTTTATACACTGATCGAACGGAATAGGAATCTGAAAATCGAAATCGGTAACGAGATCGGAATCGGAGGCCCTCATCCTTAACGCAACCCCACATCTGAACACCCAGGTATCACTTCCAGTTGACAGACAACAATAAATATAAACGAGGATGAGGATGAGGAGTTGTAGGAGTAGTAGGAGGATTAGAGATGAGGTTTTAGGGGAATCAGGAATCAGGACAGTAGCAAACGAAACACCAAACAGATTAGCATCGGAGCAGGATGAACGGGGGAGCGATACGAAAGGGAGTATGATTAACAAAAGCAACAAAATAGCAATAGCCAAAATGCTTTGAAAACAGTTTTTAGGGTACTTGAACTATTTAAGGAACTAACATTTACAACACACATATATATATATATGTATATGTATATGCGTATATGTATGTATATATATTATTCATACGTAGGACAACAAATTAGAGTTGTATTTCTAACAAATTGTTCACGATTGATTGTTTATATTGATTAAGGATCTACGTTTAAGGACCGCCTCGTGTGTGTGTGTGTGTGTGCGATTGAGTGTGTGTTTGTATGCGAGTGTGTGTGTGCGCGTTCCTAATTCCTCGATTAACATACAACCATTTGATTTCGACCTTTTTGTACATAACTTACTGTTTTACTTAGTATTTGATTTTGTGATAGCCAAAAGAAAAAAAAAGGAAAAGGATAAGGAGCGCCAATCCCATTTGTCTCAAAAGCAGGAAGGATTTTATACGGGGGACGCAGGATCGATTGCTATTTATTAACGCTAAAACCATACAACAAAAACAAAACATCTAGGCTATAGACTTTTTAGACTAAAACGCGATTTAGGTTTATCACTATTTATTAGACGTAGTCTGTAGTTTCCAACTGGGTTCTTTCATTATTCGGATTGTATCACGTCTATACTATGATTTTTGTGTCGTATATCTTTAGGATGGTATGTGGGAGGGAAGGAGGTGTTATTGTTTTCGTTTTCCAACTGTTTTCTTTCTACCAGTTGCCGCCGCCCAAGAATCAGACAGAGACGGAAGACAGTGCGAGAGAGCGAGACAGTAGATGCTGAAGATTTGAGGAGATTTTTTGTAAATTTTAGATATTAGGATACTAATTCACTGCGCATAAAAAATGCCTTCGATTGCGACATGAGCAAGTAACTAACATTAATGTAAATACCCAACTGACACACACACATATACATACATAAATACGAATACAAATACAGATACAATATATATAAACATATATATATATTTACCGATCACTGATAAACGATTACTGATAGGTGTAGTACGCGAAAGTTTGTAAAATCCAATGCCCTAGTTCGTAAGCCGCGCATACATATATCGAAACAATCGGTTATATCGTTTATATATATAGGTCAACACCGCCACACACACACATATAGGGCATATATATACATGTATCGGGATATATAATTTTAGCTAGTGTGTTTTTAAACGAAACGCGCATAGTTTCTTTAGCTAAGCGAAAGACAACATTGGAAAACCAACTAAAAAGCTGCGCCTGCCACCGATAAAACCGATAACACAAAACTAAAATAGAAAAGTGCGAAACCCACGCTGCGCTGCACACAATCAAAACAAAAAAAAACAGACACCAAAAACAAAAAACTAAAAAATAATACAAGTTAAAGTAAATATTATTATATATAGAAACGAAAACATACTCAAGTCACTGGGCTCTGCCGCCGAATGCCTTTGTACTTTTAAACGTATGGAACAATGATCGGTAATTGTTTATCGACAATCGTTGCTCGATAATAGTTGCGATAACAAGACGCTGCCTTTAAAACGCAGACGCCGCGTGCTGGTGCAAAACAAATAAAAAATAAAACTAAACTTAAAAAATAGTTATCGGATTAGCGGGCGCAGCGTTTAATTATTAATTAAACCCACGATAGTAACCAAAAAAGAAAAGAGGAAGACGCGAGGGGACAGAGAGGGAAAGAGCTGCTTGCCGTCTTTTTTCTGCGCATTGTTTTTGTTTTTATACCACACAGTCAGCAGCAATGAACAAAGTTATGGGTGTGAAAGAGAGCGAGAGAGAGAGTGGCTGAATGAGTGTGCGAGTGCAAGTGGCAAAGACACATCAATTATCGTTTTTTAACCGTTTAAAGAGCGAAAGAAAGAAAGAGAGAGAGCATATTCCAAAACTATTTGTGATTACAATTATATATGATGAAAGAAGAGGTGGAAGTTAAAAAAAGGAAGTAAAGCCGGAAACCAGAAAACCAGAAAACTTAGAAGCAACACAAAACGCATTAACCGGATGATACCTAGAGTTTAAGCCTTAGTCTAAAAACCAGCGCTATATACACATTTATATATAGATACGATCGATCACACGAGAGCGGGGGATATATATACATAAATATATATATATGAAAGTAGTTAAGCCAACTTGTAAATTATAAAATGAACATTTATTCTAAATGCAGTAGCAGCGGAAAAACAAAACAAAAAAAGAAAAACAAACGAAGAACGTTAACCGAAGACGAAGCACTTTGCTAAACGCGTTTATTATTATGCATACAAAATGTAATTTCTTATAATAAAAACCCAGAAAACACAAAAAAAAATGAACTCGAGAAAGGGGATAAACAAAAAACACAAAAAGGATGCGAAGAATAGATAAGTCAAGTGTAAAGTAAACCAAGCCTTAGTAAAAACTAGTTCTAACACAACAACCACAACAACAAAACAAGAGATAACAAATGGAAAAACAAAAACGAAAGAGAAAGAGAAACGATTGATACTAATAACTAATATTAATAATAATGAGTACGATAATGTTTATGCTAATGATTACGATAACGATAAATGATAAATGATAAACCGTTATGACATAATAACTACTTGTAAAATAGTGCGACAGTTAAGCTGATAAGATGACTTTGACTTTTCTATCAGATTTCATTAATTTAATGACACCCAACACCACCCCCAAAAACACACACACACCCACATCCCCCTTCCCACACACACAAACACTTCATACACATCCATTACATGAGTGTATGAATTAACATAAATATATAAATATTTTTTTTACTATTATTACGATGATTATAATTATTAATACTATTATTGTTTCTACCAGTCTCTATCTCCTACTTTATTTCCCTTCCTTTTTTGTCGTATTGATGCAAAATCACAGCGAACCAAGCGAAACAAAACAAAGCAAACAAAAACAACAAAATAAAAAACCAACAACACTGTAATTAACTAAATACTTTGCTTGAAAGTGTAAAATAAATTAATTTAAATAAAAATTATGAAATTAAATCGAATTCTTATTGTTCTTGGTACTTTTTCGGGGAAATATTTGAAGGTAAATGAACAGCCATCCATAGTAAGATTAATCAAGTATTGTATAAGCTACTGAAATGTCTGATAATTGGCTAAAAATAATGACTGATTAAATACGCAATGCATATTTGCAAGTAAAATTAAATATAACTCAGAGGCGTAACATATTAAAAACCGCGATAAGAAAACAGGTGCGTCTAGATTTGATAATCCAGAAACGAGAGCCCTTGAATTATTGGGTTAAAGTGATTCACTATTTCGAAAGGGTTTTTGGCCTTTCGGCTCCTTGATTATTGTGTAAACTTTTTTTTTGAGGCTCGTATATATAATATATATATCGCCAGGCGGAAGTCTGCAGAACTCCGACTGAGCTGTTTGGGTGCGAAGTCCGTACCGCTCTTTTTATATTTAGTACGATTTTATGGATTGAACGCTGCTGGGAATTATCCGTTATTATCAAGCCTTGCCATCATCCTCATGGGGAACATCTATAAATAATGTGTCGAAAACAGTTTCAAGTGCCAACCGATTGACGTTTCAGTTATAGGGGGATACAAGCAACGGGACATACATACATACATACATACATACATACATACATACATATGTACATATGTGTATTGATCGCATCACTTTGGATCGAATCGAATCCGATCCCTGATAGCCTCACGTAGGTGGTTGCCATAGAGGTGGACCTTCGATTCCAATCGAATGAGTAAGTATTTTACCATTAAAAAAATATTACCAAAATATCACTCATACGCAGTGTTGTTTTTACTACAATACTTTGTATTCATTTAATAGCTAATTATTGATTGTAATTATTATTTGGTTTTATTTAGTCAAGGTCCACCCTTATCAAATGACAAGTTTGAAAGACCTTCAGCGGGGGGTCGTAAAGTCCAAATGGAGGTAACTCGCAATGACGTCACGGAAAAAATTAAAACTTTCCGAGTTCTAGAAACAATATAATAATTATATATTTTTCACAATAAGCATGTTAAAAGTTATGCACTTAATATGCACCAATAAATAATCTGTGCAACTAAACAAATCAAAATAATATATCTTTCATTGATTAGGGAGTCAAAACAATCTTTTCAGGTCATTGATAAGGCTAATACAAATATTTACAGAACTTTTATTTCTCCTGACCTTCCATGGCAACTACAATCTCTGATTGTAATACACCCTTCTTTGGTTCAGCTTATATACGACTTCTAAAATCTGGTGAGATACGCCGTGGATGTGTTTACAATGCGTTCTTCCGGTCATGTACATCTAGAGGCCAGGACAGCTGATCTTAAAGCAGGTTGCTGGTTAATCTGTAATCGGGCGATTAGATTTGGCCAGGTGTTCCCACGCCATAAAATCAAATCTCGCAGACTTGCGTGGAGATACGATTCAACGATTCAGCGATTCCACAACTCAGCGATTCCTATCGATGGTTCCGCACTCCATCTGAAGTGAGTGTCATCCAAACGAATGCCAGCACTCGATCTCAATAGACAGGGGCAAGTGGCCCCTCGGATCGAAGATACGATGGCCCGATCTTGATAGGGCCAATGAAATAAGGCTAATTGGGTGGCTCCTCGACGGGTTTATCGACTGCCTTTGTTTACCTCCTTGAAAACGACTTCGTTTTCGCGGGCGCCAATGAGATTATTTAAATTCTCGGAAGTGTTCGAAACATTTTCGGGGAAGTCCTTGAGGTTATCTGCTGATATTTATATTTATTACACCCGAACCGCCCTATCTCAACAATTATGTAATATTATATTCTGACCCATTCCTGTAACTAAATTGGAACCTTTCGTATCAATCGTAGTTGTAGATTGTATTATTTAATTTATTTAGCGTTACGTTTCTTATCATATTTAATTCTTAATCATTTCTTCATAATTCCACTTTAATCTATTTGATATGGACCTTATAAATAGGGTTTGGTATATTTCACCAATCATTGACCACATTATATCATCATATTATAACTTCCTACTTTGCACATACTCCTCTTGATATAAATCCCATAAATAGAATCATAATATATTCCTTTAATCTTATAAAAAGTATCGTAGTCATTCTGTTTATCTATTCTTTTTAAGGAACCCCTTCTTCAGGTCGACCTTGACTCTCCATGCCAGTCGAAATTATCGGATAATTGTCTGTTCAGGTGGACGCCTCGTGGGATCAAAGTCCCTCTCGAGCGGGTAATTTAATTAAGTCGAATCTAAGTGGTGGATCGCTTAATATTTATTCGATAATGGCATTCAATGGCTCGCATGATGATTGCTATTTTTTTGTTGTCTTTGACATGGATTTATGGCCACCGGACTTCGCGCACAAATCCGTTGGCTGGTGAATCCAGTTCGATCGAAGTGGAAGTGGAATAGTATTCGGGTGGGGATCGAAGGGCTGGGGAGCCAGATAAGACACACACACGCTGCGATTAGCTGGCCAATGCAGGCCCAATTGATTAGCCCAAGTCGAAGTCAGTTAGAAGCTCTTGGCCCCTTATCTTGGCCGCGGGTTCTCCAGGTGAACCAAGTGAACGGTGAACACCGGCTCGCTGGCAATATTTATAGACTCCAGGGGCGGCCGTTGCTTGGTCATCGCGCCGCCCTCTCGAGTGCCCACTCAAATCGGAATCGCAGACGGGCTGCCTAGCCTATAAAAGCCCTGCGATCCCGGCGATCGCCCACTCACTCGATAACCCCACCCTCAGGTGGTCGCGACGCGTTCTCCATTCCACTGTGCAATCGAGATCCTCGAACCAGGATCATGAATGACCTGCTCCGCCTGGTGGCGGCAGTCGTGCTGCTGATCGCGACCGTCGGTGCCCAGGACTCCGCCGCCAGTTACCTCCTTTCCGGCCACTCCACGCCCATGGCCGGCAGTCTGGCCCACCAGTTCTTCAACCTGGCCAGCCAGAAGGCCCAGCTCGAGAACCAGACCCTCACCCGGGAGATCCGCATCGGCGGCAGTCGGGAGTACGACGACGAACGCTGCGACCGGGACATCAATCGCATCCGGGACGCCATCGACAACATGGAGGAGTGGGCTCTGGAATGTGAGTATTATCCGGAAAGGGGTTCCTTCTAGGAATCATAAGGTTACAGTTCTATTTCAAGTGGCTAGTAAGGCATTTCAGTTCTGTATTTGAAAGTGCACTTATCATTTTTGAATTCCCAAAACCCTATTCCGAACTCACCACTTCTTAATAATTTACCAACCCAAACCATTTTACTGCTGGCAATTCCCTTAATCAGCGTGGTAAAATCCAACCTTTAGTGATTCGTAAATCCATTCTAGCCTTGATTTCACTTTTATGGCGGCCATAATTTCAATTGCAAATCTATTTCAATTGGGTCAATTTCGCTACCGGATTGCCAGCGATAAGATCTGACTAAAGCCGAGCAGAATTTCCCACATGATAGGCATTTATGCTGGGGAATTCGTATTCTAATTTATTGGGAAGATTAGGGGATTAAGACGGCTAGACAGGTGGTTTCTTTCTAATCCAATTCGGTTGTTATTGCCTTTTAATGTTATCTCGTTTCGGTGGTGTCACAATTCCATTCATGATTTCCACAGTGAATAAGCTTGTAATGTATGGGCTCTATAAATGCGGAACTGCGATAGGCCACAGTCATATTTCACCATTTCATTCATACTCTGACATCGTCGAGTGGAATGCAATTTACGAGGGCTGTAAATCAACTTCAAATGGCAAACTGCACACGAGCAGCCCTATCTCGAATCGTATCTATCCCACATCATATCGAAGCACTTTAATCTGACGGCTTATCACTGCTGCAAATCCCCAGAATAAAAATTTGCAGGTGCAAAATCACAAACCGGTAGCAATTCAGTAGGTTTTACCGCGAAAAAGTAATCTTTATTTGTAGAACAACATCGGGTACTTCTTTAAATTAATACAGTACTCAAAAATCGAAAGTGCTTGCTCAATCGATGATGGATTGATAAGGCTTTGTGGATTTCCACTAAACTTTGAGCACTTCTTGGCACTTATGCAATGGGAATACATTGATAACGCATTGTTGTTAAACAGATCTTGGGATCTTCTTTAATTTGATACAATGTGCTTGAGTAGTTTGCTAGTTATCATGATCCAACTCCCCTAAATCCAAAGTTCTTCCAGTTAATGGAGCTCCTTTGTTCTCTTGCAGTTCCGGACACCTGGGGTCGCCTGCCCATGGGTCTCTTCTGGGGCCACACGATCAGCATGGGCCAGTACGAGGAGTGTGTGGCGGCCAGGACCACCTACGGCGACGAGATCCGCGGACAGTACTGCCTGGCCAGCCTGAACATCACCACGTACTACCAGTCGGTGAAGAAGCGCGGCGAGGAGTTCAGCCGCATCAGCTACAAGCAGACGGATCCCCAGGTCTTCGAGCTCGGCATCTGCGTTCCCAGCACCTGCAGTGCCCAGAAGACCGACAAGCTGCTGAAGTATGTCATCACCTCGTTCTACGGCACCGATGTGACCGACTTGGACCTGGAGATGGTCACGGAGAAGCGCTGCAAGTACGATGCACCCATCGAGTTGCGCGGCATCGACATCTTTGCCATGTGAGTATTACATTTTAAATTCTTTTAGTTACTTTATTAATACCTTGTATTTCCTTGACAGCATCTTCTTCTCGCTGATTATTTTCTTTATGGTGGCCAGCAGTGTCTACGATTACATTCAGACCCGCAAGGGAGGTGGGTTCTTCATACCTTTAAAGTGTATAATATGTATTAATGAAATCTTTATGTGTTTCAGCCCCCAAGAAACCGCTTTTGCTGGCCTTCTCCGTGCTGACCAACGCGCCCAAGATCTTCACCGTGAAGAAGGTGAACAATCCGAATGTGATCCACTGCCTGAACGGGCTGCGCTGCTTCAGCATGATGTGGGTGGTCTTCGGCCACGGCTACATGACCTTCTACGACCTGCCGCACATCAACAGGAACGCGTTCTACACCTGGGTGGAGACCCCCTACTCGATGCTCGTCCAGAACGGCTCCCTCTGCGTGGACACGTTCTTCTTCATGTCCGGACTGCTGATGTGCTGGGGCGCCTTCCGCGAAATGGAGCGCACCAAGGGCAGGCTGAACATCCCCATGATGTACTTCCACCGCTACATCCGGCTCACCCCCGTGGTGGCCGTGGTCGTTCTGTACATCATGTCGCTCTACAAGTACTCGGGCGCGGGTCCCATGTGGTTCAAGCTGGGCACCCAGGACCAGCGGTGCGCCGACACCTGGTGGGCCACCCTCATCTACGTGCAGAACTACGCCTTCCCCTACAGCATTGTGAGTAGATCCTCTTTGCATGGGATAATATCACATTTTCTGATTATTGAGTCTACTGAAGAAGTCACTTCCATTATAATAGTTGGGAATCAGCTAAATGATCAGTTCTCCTTACCTTCTTCAAACTCTTAAAGTCTGTTTTACATTTTAATTGAATTCTAATATATATATTTCCTTGGATGTATTAGAGTTATATCCTTAGACTCTCAATAGTCTGAGAGAATAATCATCCACATAGTTTGATTATTCTTAAACCTACATATATTCTGTTTTGTAGCTGAGTTATTAATAGTCTCACAAGAAGAATTATTTTAAATGAATTGTTTACAATTTTTAATACAATCTTAGTTCTTTGATTTATTAACTAATATCAGAGGAATTCCTTACTCTATCATCTTTAAAAATGACTTTTCAAATCAATCTGTCTTTCCTTTCTTTTATCCTTAGTGCATTTCGCAATCGTGGTACTTGGCCGTGGACACGCAGCTGTACTTCCTCTCCCCGATCTTCCTGATCCCGCTGTGGAAGTGGGGCAAGAAGGCCTTGGTGCCCATCGTGATCTTCCTGATCATCTGCCTGGGCGGAACCTTCGCCACCTTCATGCTGAACGACTTCACCCTGTTCCGAGTGCAGGACGACCACGTGGATCTGCGCCAGCGGCTGACCTACTATCCGACGCACACGCGCATTCCCACCTGGCTGATTGGCGTGATCTTCGGCTACTTCCTGTTCACCAGGAACCGCGGTCGCCAGATCCCGATGGGCAAGCCGCTGGTGCTCACCGGCTGGTTCGTCGCCTTCGGAACGATGCTGGCCTGCATGTGGGGACCCTACTGGCGCATCCTGCCCGACACTCCCGACTCCCCCTTGATCGAAGGAGCCTTCTTCGAGCCGCTGAGCAGGACTGCCTGGGCCTTGGCCATCGGCTGGATCGTTTGGGCCTGCTACAATGGCCATGGTGGCCTGGTCAACGACTTCCTCTCCTGGAGCTTCTTCACAGGATTCAGTAGGCTGTGCTACTGCATGTACGTCATCCATCGCATTGTCCAGCTGGTCAATGCCGCTCGTCTCCAGACGGACACCCACTTCTCCAATTACGATGCGGTAAGATATAGTAATTAATACCTGATTACTTGTAATTAACTAATCATTATACTTCCTCCGGTAGATCCTCCGCTGGTGGCACGACTTCGGCATCACCCTGACCGCCTCCATCTTCGCCACCTTGGCCTTTGAGGCGCCCATTTTGGGCATTGAGAAGGCCATTTTCGGCAAGCCGGCGCCCAAGAAGCCAACTCCCGGTGAGCTGGCCAAAACTGCACCCACTCCAGCTGCTGCTGCCGCTGCTCCTGCTGCTGTGGCGGAACCGGAAACCAAGCTGGTGGAGGAGAGCCAGGCGGAGATCACGCCCGCTGCCGGCAGCAGCGATGAGAATCCATCCAAGGCCTAAATTCCACCACTGCCACCAAGCGTTTTTTTTTTTGTCCCCACGAACCAATTTTTTGTGTGTAGTTAGTTATATTTATTAAAAACTTTAAAACAATCAAGAAGTAAACTTCTATATTCAAACCATAGTTAGGGTTTTCATTCAGTTTTTCCATATTCTATAAAGTTTAGTTAGAAAATTATAATGGGAACAGTTTTTCAACGGCCCTCGATGGGATTGAGTCCCGTGCAAATGTATAGCCTATACACAAACCCTATTCTGACCTCATAGTCGAGTTTCAAGCCAGTGGGATTTTCTAGAGCAACGGCTGGCTGTGTGCATTTAGCAATAAAGCCTTCACATCGTCTGGTAACACTGTCCAAAGCTAAGTGTGTGTGTGTGCGTTCGTGTGCGACGAGTTCAAACGAAACGAAGTTAAGATGCCGCCAGATGAACAAGAATTCGTAAGTGTTCCAAAACAAATAAATATTGTTTATGCTTATTGTCGCGGGAGGGGCCGCCTTGTCGCCTATTGACACGTCCACCCGTTGACGGGGGCGCGGCTAAAATTCGCCGAGAACCGTGGAAAAGGACTTGCAAAACGGTAAAAAACAAAAGGCTCAACGAAACGTTTACCGAAATTTTGCGTGCGTGTTTTCAACCTGTATTTGTTGGCCCCAGTGTGTGTGTGTGCTGTGTCGCTATGCGAGCTCACCTGTGTGTTTGTGTGTTGGGGCACACTGTTTTGTGTGTCGGTATTTATGTGTTCCGGAATTGCAATATAAAAATTGCAAATCTGTATGTGTGTGTGTGTGTGCGTGTTTATGTCGGTTAACACGTGCCGCCCCCGCCCCACTGCTCCCACTTGCATTCCATTTTAGCTCCCTTATCAGCGTAACAACAACAACAACAGTGCATGTGTGTGCTTGTGTGGGTTCGCTTCATTAGGGAAAGTGATTTCCGGAGTGCAGTTATTGCAGTTGCTGTTGTTGTTGCTGCCTGGAAAAGGGTCAGAAACCGGTTTAATTGTTGCTGCAATAGAAAATCTAAAAAACGAATGATGGAAAACGCTTTCCCTTCGTTCAAATAGCAGTTGTTTTTGTTTTCCAAGCCGGCCAATTTGGCATTGCACAAATCTTTGCTCCCAATCCCATTGTAACACAAACATGCATGCACATACACAAATGCACTGCCATTGTTTGCTTAATCACTTAACGGGTGCGAAAGAGAGAGACCTATCGAGAGGGGGGAAGCGGAGAAGGGAGTGAGTAAGAGAGCGCATAAATATTTATTAATTTAATTGGGATTTCTATATTATTAAACTTATTTTTTAAAGCATGGCATTGCAAGCAATATTGTCCCAAAAAATTTTAAATTTTTACCCAATTATTGTTTTTATATGACTCGCCAATTCCTAAATTGATAAGAGTCTTAACTACATAATTAAAAATTGTATCTCAAAAATAAAAACATCATTTTTTTTTTGTTTTGACCAAGTCTTTTCATAATCTTCCTAGTTTTCTGCTCCAATTTGTCAAAAACCTTTCTGCTTTTCAAATTGGGTAAACAATTCTGCGAATCGTATTTGTAATTTAGCGAACATATTCAATATTTACTGGAAAATGTCTTTGTAGTCGCCAGATTCTCCCAATTCGTATTGCAATTTTCTACGCCGATCGGAAGTGGCGTTGTTTATGTGCTTTCCTAGTAATTTATTTATTTTTTTCTAGAGATACCCCCGTCCACCCAGCTCGTAAATTCGTATTTCTCGGGAAATCTTTTTTGGGAATTGCAAATTGGTTTATAGCTAAATTTTCATTCATGCAAATTATCGCGTTCTTTTCAAAGAGCGTTTGATGATGTGAGAAAAGGTGAGAACCCAGCATGCAAAGTTAGGAGCGCTCCGAATTAGGTGTCTGAAAAGAGCCCTGCTTCGGAGCGTTTTTGGAGTAAACACATATTTCAGAGCGATTTAGGAGCGTTTTCGGAGTAAACACATATTTCAGAGCGATTTAGGATCGTTTTTCGAGTTAACACATATTTTAGAGCGATTTCGGTGCGTTTTCGGAGGGTGAAAGCACCTATTTAGGATTCAAAAAAGAGCACTTATCGGACTCTCAAATTACCATCCTTATGACGGACCATTTTCAAGGGGAAAAACGCTCTTTCCGGTATCTTTTCGGAACACTTTATGGGTGTTTTTACCCAAAAGAAAGGTTCAAAAAACGCTCCGAAAACGCTCATATTGCATGCTGGGAAGGTCAAAGCGTGATATTTGGCGCTAATCTCATTTAGGTGTATTGCATTAATCAGTGAACCCCAAGATCATTAAAAACCCAACTAATCGTCATCAAATTCTAATCTGTAAACTCGTGTCTAATGCATGGTTATTAAAAAGCCCAGATAAGAAAGTCATATGGGAAAATTTAATGAGCAATTAACTAGTTGCTGTTATTGCTGTCATTTGTTAAAAAGAAAGACCTTTGGCATCTATAACATCAAATTCTAAAAGCAGAGTTCTTACCCGAACTAATAGGATACGAATGATAGAAATTCCTGGAATTGGCAACTCCGACTGGAATCCTTTGATGGATTTCCCTGCTTTCTCCGTGATTCGCCGCTTCGCAATTTGCGCATATTTGTGCGCGCACAATTGATTTCACTTGAATTGACATTACTAACTACAAATTGTTGCGATTTCATTGTTGCATATTTGCCAACTTTTGTGGATGCCACCACCCCCATCAGTCTGTCTGTCTGTCTGTCTGCTCGATGCATAAATCAAATTGCTCATAAAAAGGGCAGACAGTCGGGCAGCAACAATGACAACACTTCAGCCAGCGCTCTCTGGTATCTGCTCCTCCGTTCGGTTCCATGTGCACAAATAAAATTATTTGTGCAGTAAATATGACAGCGGCGCGGCTCCCTATTTTCGGGGAGGGGTCCCTTTCATTCAGTGATCCACAATGAGATTTTCTTTTGAAATCAGCTTTTTTGGATGGGGCAGTAATCTCCAGAAAATAATTAATTAAATTCTCCTACTATTCTACTTCATTCAAAGTTGAATTTAGGGAAAACCCGTCTGATCTTACTTAAAAATAGATTTCATTTCAAAACATTATTTTACTTTGGATAACAATAAGGAACTAAGTTAAAGCTTAGGGTCGCTGTTGAGTTTATGCACAGCTCCCCTAAAAAAAGGGATATTAAAAGCCCCTTTGGCTCTTTAGTTTCCCCTTCAAGAACACGCTGCATTGATATACGCTTTCCCTAAACCCTTTTCAAATGGAACCCTTTGCGGCACTTCCTGCAACTCCAATCTCCACCTCTGCGCTGGGAGAACGCCTTTACAAAGTTATGAAATATTTGTGTCCCATTGCAGTTGACTGCTCGTCCTGTCTCTTGGCTTCCTTCCCAGCCATCATTGCCCTTTTCGGTTGCCCTGGATTTATTATTATGGCATCCTTGTGCCGGGATTTTGAACCCAGCCAAAGTACAATAACCCACGAGGATGAGGTTTTCGTTTATTTTTTCCTGTTTTTTTTTTTTTTTTCGTGGCAGCCTGTTGCTATATTTTGCCTGTGTTTTTGATTTCGTTTGCTCAGCCCAGCCGACTGGGCTTCCTCATTTGCGTTGATTAAGCCGCGAGGGCTCTGCCACAGATAGCAGCCACAATAACTTTCATTAAAAACGAAAAGCGGAGAATAAAAATAAAAATGGAAAATAAACAAAAACGCCGTTGTGCAACTGGGCCCATATGTGTGAGTACAAACGTATATATATATTTATATATATATATACGCTCGTGGAAATGGGTCAGACCAGTCAGTCCCAGTGCTCTCTTATCATAGGCCCACAACAGCCCACAATCCACCGCCCAAAAGTGGAACAGCCGCCCGGACCGAAATCAAAACTGGAACGGGTGAGCCAACACACCCCCACCCCCACAGCAAACCCAACCCCCACCCCACCCCCTCGATTCTTTGGGAGCCCCGAGCGCCTAGCAAAAATAATATTCCTAAAATAAACAAGCAGGCGCAGGCAAAAAATATATATAGGGGAAAGCAAAGACAAGCCCACGAATGTGCAAAAAAAAAAAAAAAAAAAAAAAAAAAAAAAATTACAAACTACAAAAGGTGGAGACTCCCCACAGAATTCTGTGCACCTTCGGGAGTTGAAATGTATAGCACTTAATGGTGGCTTTTAATGTCTGTCAGCCTTCAGCGCACTAAATCGCCATAAGCGTTACCTAAATATCTCTTAATAACTAAACAACTATCTAAAGATACGAAATAGCTACCGGTAGAGTTGTAAGATCTACATTTTCAACACAAACTGATCTTAAACTAAATCTCTTGGGAATAAACTACTTCATACCTCAAATTTTTTCATTTTTCTCAACTAAATGATGGAAACCTTTTGCATCTGGAAAACTTAATTGCGCAATTTGTCCGATTACTACAGTACACTTGGCAGCTACTTACGGCATATATATAAAGGCACGAATCTGATTGCTACAGAATATTTCATTGATGCTCGTGTGGCTGCAAATTGCTTTGAAAAGTTCTTTGTACCTACTTGTTTATTATACCAATGTGTTTATTTTTTTCTAAGTATATTTTCCTACAAAGATTTAAGATTGTATAATGTTTACCAGGCCAAGAGTTGCCTTTGATTTTATTTTAATTATTTACCTAAAAATCTATTAAAATGTGATTTGAATGCTTAGAATGTTTTTCCACATTATTCCCTTTAAAATTCGAAACATTTTTTGGTACTTAAAACCGATATTGAGAATTCTCCCCTAAACCAATAATTCGAGTTTATCTAGGGCCTCTGCACCTTCTTAACCCCTTTCGGAGCTCGACAATTGGCCATTATTTTCCGTGCTCGCTGCATGTTGTTACCCCTTCGATTGTTTGCCAACAAAACACACTCCACCTCTCCGGGGATGGATTTGCCACCCGAAGTGGGTCAATGGATGCCGTCTGGCTATCTGACTCCGGCCATTTAATCGTGGCCAGATCCCTGGTCCCCGGGTTTATTGCGATTCTCCATTTACTTATGCATAATTGGAACTATTGCGATTGCGAGGAGGCGATGGAGGCGATGCAGGAGGAGGAGACGGAGAAGAATGGGAACGATGGAGAAGGAGCAGCACTGTGCAGCTAGGGCATTGTGTTTCGTATTTTGCTGTTTGCCTCCGTGCCCCCCATGCCTCCATGCCACCGTGCCTCCATGCCACTATTGCCCCACGATGCCAATCATGCGGGTTGTTGAACTCTCCCTAGACTCTCGCACACTCGCATGTGACCGACCGGGTGAGTGGCTCTCAGGGAGCGAGCTCTTATACTGATTCTGATTCCGAATCCCAATCTGCCGCTGATGCTCCGCCTTTGGAGCTTCAGATGCTGCCGTGGACGTGGATGTGGATGTGGATTTGACTTGACGTTGGCTTGCCCAGTTGCTTCCGCAATGCTTTCTTACCGAGTACAGTAAATACTAGATAAGCTAGTTAACAAACATGCATTGCTTATATTTACAGAACCTGTAAAGATACGGTATTTATAGCCATGATTTATAATGGATTTGTGTAATTCATGATTTAGCAATGATGCTACAGTTTCCGAGGAATTTTCAATTACTTGATCGTTTTTTACAAAATTAGGTTTGAAGATTTCTAGTATACTTTACGAAAAATTAATTTAAAATCTAACATTTTCTTTTAGTTTTTCTATTTGGCTAGTTCTTTTTATCGAGTTTTCCCTACATTGTATCTGACTTTTTTGACTTTTTCTATCTCTCTCCATCGTTTTCTTTGGCTCTTCCCAGTTCTTTAGCTTTCTTCTCGACTATAACACTAAAGTTTTTGCCTTCGCTTTGCTTTACTTTTGCTGCTGCTGCTCTTAGTTCTTGTTCAAATATATAGTTTCTAATGCGAGAGGTCCCATTGTCTGAGTCTTCATTTCCGCTGTTCTTGTTCTTGTTCTCCAACTCCAACTCAATCTCCATCTTCACGAGCTCCTCCTCCCAACACATTGTGTCGTGCTCAAGTCTTCATTGCGATATTTTCTCAATTGCATTTGGACCACGGCCTGACAATGACATGTGTCCCCATCTCATCCGAATCTTTCATCTCTCATCTCTCGTCTTCCAACTTGTCTTGATCCCATCCTCAACACTTTCGAACGCCGCGGGCTTTTAGCCATTTCTAGCAAAAAATCACAAATTTGTTACACGGACAAAAAATTAACTTAATGAAAAGTTATGGAGTAAAGTGTCATTTTTATCAAAAATGATTAAAAAAAATTGACAAAAAAATAACATTTTAACCTTGAACGGAGTTTGTTAAAAATTTGTATATGAAAACTATCAAGATATCCCACTTGAAAATCTGATTAAAATTGGAATAAAGTGCAAGACTTAAGTCGTTTTTGCGAAGATCTATTTTTCATCAAACTAAAAACTGTTTCTAGTAAAGATTCCCAATTACAAAATACTCAATATTGAAATGTTAACTTTTATTTGAGTCAGAAAGGGGAACTTGATGTTATCAAAATCATTTTATACATTTTTTCAAGTGTAATAACCTAACGAACACGTTAAAACCAAGTTGAAAGAACTCTTAGGGGGCATTGTTGGTCTTTTTTCGCTTTTGATTGGTTTGACCGATTTACATTGTGCAAAAGAAATGAGTTTTGGGGGAGGCATAGAGGTAGCGCTAAATGTGGGGACCGAGGGCTTTTCATTTGTTTGGCCTACTTAGGGTCCCAAAAACATGTTGCTGCTTTCGGTAGTTTCTCCCACATTCGACCCTCCTGTTCAGAAGTTTTTAGCCATTTCTGATAATTAAAAAGGCAACATTTCATTTGTTTTGTTTGCTTTTCTAAGGCTGTTATGCTCCCTTGGCAGTTTGCCCATTGGCTGTGCCAGAAGTATAAAGCGGAGTGTACAGAATGGATATATGGCAGACTTAATTGAGTCCACAATTTAGAGTGGAAGGAGCGGGACTAATATGAGAACTCAAAGGGCTGCCAAGTGCGCTTAGTCCAAATAGATTTGTTTTTCCACAGACTGCCAGACTTTATCATAAACTGTCTGAACATGAACATTCACAAAGAATGGGAGGCTGATTGATTGTGAATTTCATTTACATGACAGTTTTTGTTGAATATTTAAGAAGAATAGAAATCGTTTCAACACTTTCTTAGCGAAAACATCTTGAAGTTTTTGTGTGGTAAGAATTCAAATTACATACTTCGTAATGAAGCAGTTAAATGCTGTCGGCATGACATAAGAAGTCTTCAACTAGAGAAATGGAAAATTATAAATGCTTTCAATTGCTCAGCTTAGTCACGTTCCATGGCCGACTGAAGAAATATGTCGCATCATCGAAGTACCAGGTTTATTCGGATGGCTCCGAATCTCGCTGCATTGCGTAATCAAATGGAAATGGAGTAGGGGGAATAATAATGCCCCTAATCCCATTTGTGATCACTTTCTATGAGGAATGGGGCCAACAGCGGCGGCTAATTTGTGGATCAAACTCGTTTTGAGGGCGCCAAACACAGTCACACTTCTCCAAACTCAAACCACTTCAAAAATGTTTGGATTTAATATTATAGAAATTTTGACTCGAATTATAACTCGTGATAAAGCTTTTGCTTGGAAGATGATTTTAAATTAGTTCAAGCATGTTTTATGGCTGTTGAAGATTAATTTTTGACATGACAGCTGTGGATTTTCATTACCGAAGTCGGACTGTAGCAATCAGATCGATTCATCGGTATTAACATATGTGTGTTTAAGCTGCGGTGATTTCTTTTCGATGCGGATTTGTGTAAAAAAAAACGCATTTAAAAGAAAGTTTTTCAGCAGCAGCGGCAGCAACAACAATGGCAGTAATAATAATTATAATATTATAACAACAACAGCGAAGCGTGATGCTTGGAGGCTTTTGTCTTGTCTCAATGTCACGCCCCTTGCTGGAAAAAGGGGGAGGCAGTTCGAGGGGAGGAGTTCGAAGCAGAGACAGAGTTAAGCGAGCGTTTTGTTTAAATAATCGAGAGACAGGCGCGCACCACAAGAAAGCGTAATAATAATGAAAAATAATAACAATAATCATGCGCAAATGGTAGAAAACAAAAAAGCACTCGCATATGTACAAAATGTGAGTCGTATGGCGAAGCAAGTGAAATTTTTTTCCAACGACACTCGAAACGCTAGCGAAATTTCTTAACACTTTCGTAAGAAGAAGTCATGAGCAGTGCAAAGAAAATAAATTAAATTAAGCACAAAAGCCGCTCAGCGAGCCGTGCCTTTGGGCATTAAGATTTAAGCTTGATTTAGTTATTTTCCTCGCTTTTTTTCATTTTCATTGGCGGCTTCCAGCTGAGCTTGGCTGCTTCTGTTAGAATACAGTGAAACCTTGCTATGGATGGTAGGATAAATTCGGAAATTTCTAACTGTAAATGGAGAGTGTTTAAATATTATTTATTTTAAATCTAAAAAATGTGTCTATTATTGCAATTCAATTACATTTGAAAACTTGAAAGTCGTAACAAGTTTGGTTTAGAATAGGTCCACTGTACTTACTGGCGATTAACAGATCATGATCATCACTGTTAATGGGCATCCTTTTAATTTTAACATGTGCTCCCGCTCTCTTTGCCGCCACTGTCTCCACTCTCTTCCTCTCCCCTCCCTCTTTCTCGCTGGCTGACATTGAACTGTGTCAGTGACAGTGGCAGCAATAAAAACTACCGTGGGGCGAACTGCGCTGCTCCACTCGCTCAGCTTCTCTCCGCTTAACAGTGGACTTTATTGCTATTTTGAAGGCAGAAAAATATAATAAGTATATAGTTTTTATTTAGAAGAGCGGTTACAAACCTTTAACACAAAATGAAGTTGGAACTCCAAATTTCAAAACTCATAATTTTTACCGAAAAACTTTCCGTTTCGCCCACAGTGCGCTCCTCTTTCTCTTCTGCGCATGCGCAGCAGCTCTGTTAACGCAGGCAGAGGCTGTTGGCTGCGTTTCTCGCCGTTTCGCCGCTCGTCGTCGTGTTTCATTGTTTGTTGTCAGCCGACGCGCGTTCATCTCGTATCATCCGCCTCGTGCGCTCGCGTCTGATTGCGCTGTGATGTGGAATTAAATTACTATTTATTTGTTTGTTTTTTGTGAGTGCAATAGTGTTCGTGTTCTAGTGGCTATTAACGTGAACAAAAAAATGCCCTAAAATGCAGCGAACGCATTGGAATAAGGACACACCGGAGGATAAGAACAACAACAGCAGCAGAAGGAGCGAGCAGGACAGTGGCTGCCATCAGCGACTCTTCCTGTGTATATCCAAGGTGTGTGTGCTTGTGAGAGTGCGTACATCCATCTCCTTCTCACACATGGTTTTAAATTTTACTTTCTAAGCTTTGCCTTGGTTTTCTCTAATCTCAGGATGCTCTTGTTTGATGCTCTATTTGCTACACCAAAACAAAAACTATTAAATCAACATTTTATTTATACAAAATATCTTTCTTAACCAAATATAAAGCACTTAAACTGTTTTGTGTACCAAAGAATTTGAATGAAAAAGCTATTTTATCGGTTTGGTGTAACTCTTCTGTTTGTTGTTTCTGTGTAGCTCTATCACTTGCAGTTTTTTGCTTTTGCTAGGCTATTTATAGACAGTTTTTGTTGCCTTTTCTGCTCCTTCTTTTCCTTTTCTACTTGTTGCTTTAGTGCTCTCCACCTTGTAAGCTCCAAGATGTTTTCTTGTGTTGTTTTTTCATCTCCTTTTCTTCTTGATCTTGGCTCTTCTCTAGTTCATTAGCATCGAACACAAAGAGTTCTCTGAAGATGGTTTCTTTCCACCTGAGAATTACCGGGAAAGCCACAAGAACACACTCACTTATCGCTGATGCTGTATTTGTCTGCATGGCGAGAGAAAGAATGGCCCCAACATAGTTATACATAGCAGCTATCTTATCAGATCGGCCGTTAAATAAAAGCCCTACACTTCAAAGAGAGTTTCCAAATACTTGTACTAAATTGCCCAATACCGGGAAACAAGAGTCTTGGATCTGTAATCCTAAGATATTGCTAATGGGTTTCACAAAAAAGGCTGTGAATAAATAAACAAAATTCTAAAAATCGTACTTAAAAGTGTTGCTATTTTACGTTTATGCAGACGAAAAGAATTTCAAAGAATCGCTTGCTATTATTACGAAAATCTGACGTTTTGGTTCTTCCTACGTACTTCCTAATTATTCATCTATTTATTCCCAAGAATTATGCTTACAGATATTTCCGCTTAATTCAAAGCAGCTGTTGGTAGTATGAAATCATGTTCCATTCCCCACTTCCCTCTACTCCAACAGCTGGTTTCTTTTGTTTTTCGCCTCGCATTTCTTCTGCTTTTTGGCCAAGTTCCGTTTGGAACTTGGATTCGGATTCGGATTCGGATTCGGATTCGGACCATATGTAACACATCTCATCGCACAAGAAACACGAGCCGAACAGCCCGACATCAATTCGCATGCAAATGAAATTTCGCCGTTGCTTCTTTGGATTTCTCTCTAAAAGCGTTTGTTCATATGCAAATAGGCGTGGCATAAGGGGCGGCCCCAAGGGGGCTTTTTGGATAGACAATGAAGAAATACCGTTTGAATAGCATAGTGGATATTCTTAGGCGAAGTCTTAATGAGCAAACTTCACGGTATTATGTGCTTTTAGCTGGAGGCTGCTAAGAAAAATATTGGCTTTTAGATTCCTTTCGTTGATGGATTTTTTAATTTGGGGAAAAAATAGTTTTTAGGAAACATCATTCATTCATGATGTAAAAACTGCTGCACTTTCGTACCGATTAAAGCAGTTCATGTTGTTGAGGTTGAACTGTAGCGGCGAACTGCGAACTGAGCGCTCTTTTGTCCCGCTCCAAGTTTCAACAATCCGCTAAGGGGTCAGCTCTTTTTTGTTTAGCTTTTTGCTCCTCCTCATCGCCGAGCCACCATATCACACTCCCCGTAAACCAATTTGCGACTGCGCATCAAGCGGAAGCATAATAAATGCGCTTTAGCCGAGCATTTCGAATCAATTGCGAAAGTGTGAAAGGAAGTGGCCCCTCCTGAAAACCCCTCTCGGTGTGCGCTTCGGTTTCCCCTTGGAAACTGTGTGCACACTTCTCAGACAACAATCTGTCAGCAATATCCTGCATCCTGTTGAAGGAAATCGTCGAAAGGAGCCGGAATGAAGCCAAGCCGTAAATAATGGCGAAAGTCTCATTGAGGATCCTGGTGGAGGGCTAGCGGAATTCACTTGATGGGGGTTATTTCCGAGCTCACTGAATGGTTACAATGTGGCGAATGGAAATCCGACACAAAGGCAAAGGGAGTAGGTGTGATTTCAACAGATTCTCATTCAAATTCTGGTATAGGTAATCTCTGCATTATGTGTACATTAATAAATACAAATTCATCCCATTTATCTACGAGCTCGGGGTGAAATTACTACTCAGATTATGTCGCTCTGTTTACCTTTGTTGCCAACTCACTGACCAAGTGCAATTCAGCGTAAATATATTCTGATTTAATGCTCCATTTGCAGAGCAATTGTTCACGACAAGATTAGTCAGCAATGAATTTGTAAATGATGACTGATCTGTGCGCAGTAACTACTATGCTGATCTATCAGATGGACGGATGGATGGATAGTCAATAGAATTGCATCAGTAGCTCCCCCTTTCTGCTTTCTCCGCCCAATCTGCATTTGTTGTTTGAGTCTTTCCCCAAGCGATTCTAACTATCTGCCTGGAAGTTTTCCAATCGCTGATCGTTGTTCGCTATTTTATACTTTTTACTTTGTCTAAGAACCAGCGACTTCCATGCTCAGAGTCCGTTAACGGCAGCAAAGACGCCAAGTCGCAGCAGAAGACGCTTCTCCAGAGATCGGAGACACCGATTTAGCCATGGCCCCGAGCGGTTTTACAGTTTTCAGGTAGAACCGAACCGAACCGAGCCGAGCCAAGCTGAACTGAACGGAACGGATTGGAACAGTTTGCAAAGTCTGTCGCTTTTACTTTGCATGCAAACAGTTAAGAAAAGAGTGACGGGAAGAGAGTTTCTTGGCTAGCTGCTTCTTTTTTATACCCTTGCAGAGCAAAGGGTATTATAATTTTGGCCAGAAGTTTGCAACGCAGTGAAGGAGACACCTCAGACCCTATAAAGTATATATATTCTTGATCAGCATCACGATCTGAGTCGAAATCCGTCTGTACGTCTGTCCGTCTGTCTGTCTGTCCGTCTGTCCGTCTGTCCGTCTGTCCTCCTGTCCGTTTCTGCCTAAACTAGTCTCTCAGTTTTAAAGCTATCTTGCTGAAACTTTCCCAAAAGATGTGTAGTTATTGCACGCAGTATATAAGTCGGAACGAGCCGGATCGGCCGACTATATCGGATAGCTCCCATACAAGAGGTCAAAAAAATAAAGGATAAAAAATTATTACGCCGTTGTTTTTGATCAGATCGACTTGAGTTCTTCAAGATGGCGTTTTCTAACGGTTATTAAATTTCGGATTAAATTTTATCAAAATCGAATAACCCTATCATATAGCTGCCATAGGAAAGATCAAAAAATATATATAGAAATAATGGCAAAATAATCATAACGTTGTTGTTTTTTATTCCACGAGCATGATTTTTACAACATCGACTTTATGAACTACCCTTGAACCGAGAAAAAAATTTCATAAAAATCGGACAACTATATCATATAGCTGCCATATGAACAACAGTCAAAAATATGGAAAATTAATAGAAAAGTCGTCATAGCTTCGATGTTGTTAGCCTTTATGTATTTTGTTCGATATGTTTGATGACTGCAAGGGTATATAAGCTTCGGCTTGCCGAAGCTAGCTTCCTTTCTTGTTTTTTTTTTGTTGTTGTTCTTGTTGTTGCTCTATTAACTGGCTCTGCTCTGGCCAAGAGATTTACGTTGTCTGTAATCATAACCATAACCAGCCAGAACTCAAAACTCAACTTGAACTGTGTGCACAGAAACCGGAAGTGAGTAAACCCAGCCTTCCGCCTTTTCTATCTGCTTTCTTTCTTCAGCATAGCTAATTGACAAACAATCTGTTGTTTATGCTGCCTGATTCTCCATTTAGATGGTTTCTTGAATTTGCATTTTACTGGCTATACAAAGCTTTAGTTTAACCAGCTAAAATATATTTTTTTAATATGTATATATTTTATTAGGGGTTTCTCAAGATCTCCAGAAATGAAGATGTGTTTATCTGCGATTCTCGAGCTAAGTGTTCGTTTACCATTGAAGATTAATTACCTTCTGCAGCATGTTTAAAACCAAACAAACTAATGATCTTTTGGGAACATTCCGTGGATTGATTGATTGAGATACATATGTTCACTGAAAAGATACACCAGCACATAGCTTTTCGACTGCCCAACATTGGTGACCCATTCCACTGAACTTAGTCACCATCCGGGGCGTTCGAGCGACTCTCTCCGATAAACCTTTTTGATTTCCAGTTCGGTACCGCCCGCTCCGCTCCGCCCCCCTTCCCTTGGATCTTCGGCGCAGCAAAAGTGAAAGTAGCACCCGCGAAGCCATTAGCGAGCATCTAAAATTAGACAAGACTCGGGTGACCTGTTGGCCTAGGCCAGCTACAACAACTACAAAAAACAAACAACGAACCCACAACCAACGAATGACACATCATAAACAAACACCACATATCCAGTTTTGGTTTCAACACTCAACACGTGAGCTGCATAACCAATTCTGGACTTGCAAGTAGTCTAATTACGGATGTTGGGATCCCAATTCCTAATTCCCGCAAGGATTTTGTTTCGTTTCCTTTAAAAACAAGCGAATCGAATATCTTATGTCATAACCATTGAAACCATTAAGTCCCTGTTCTCCGGATAATGTATTCGTAGAAAGACGCGAGATAAACAAACGTGATTCGTGTGGGGAAAGAGGTGAGGATCATAAATACGATGACGCATAGCATCGCTCACCTCTCTTTTGGACCTCACATCATCCGAATCCGCTTCAAAGGAATCCCTGGACCCGCACACTGGGTCAAAGTGTTCAAATAAGTTGGGAATTTAATACTATACCTACTCAGAAAAAAGTAATATATTTCTTAACAATTGTTCTTTAGAAGAAGCTTTTCAACAGAAAAGCAAACTATCTGTCATTTCCGCGTAATCAGAGCCCCAATTGTTGTTAAAAAAAATCAGTAACAATTCACCAATATTAAGCGTGAACTTGCACTTTTTTCGCACAGCAAATAATTCAAATTAATTTATGAGAATTCTCACCAGAACGTGAGGTACTCGAGCAATTCATGCTAATTGATAGGCTTCGGTTCACTGAATGGTTACTTCTGCGAACTTCTGCAGATAAAGGCTCCAGTTCTCACGAACACACACATTTGGCCCGATAAGTTATCGCTTGTCGCAGCAACAATCAGACATCGACGTTATCGCCGATCTGGCCCACTGTGCGACGGTCGAAGGGTGACATATGGTGGTTCCGTCGCCGACTCCCGGATGACTCAAATTGTTGGTATGCCTCCGTCGTCGCCGCCCGCGTCTCCGCTTCCGAGTAAGCGCTCTGCCCCTGCAGTTCGTTAACCGCAGCAGCGCAGCAGCGGTACACTGAGCGAAATATTTGAAATATCTCATTTATGAACCTTATAGATGCCATAGGAAGCTGAGCTCAGGAGTTTCATAATTTACAAATTAAGGTTGAAATCATTGGAAACTCTTAATGGATTTTGATTTTTAAATAATCAGTTTAAAACATTACTATCTTTATAATTATTGTTTTAAGATATGATCCATAATAATCTTGAGAACTGAAAAACGTAAGAACTCTGTTTAAGACTACGCTTACAGTCTATAGTTCTGTTGACTTTGACTTGAACACCCGCTTAGAATATGTTGAGAAGCGCGTTTCTTCCAGTGTATCTGCTATCACTCGATGACGATGATTGCGACGTCGACGGCGCTGCTTTCCGCTCTGCCCGGCGATCGAGTCCAAGTGGCCGTCAGTACACAAGCAACTTCAAACGCGACGGGTCGCGAAAAAAATCGAGGGTTAAGTGGTCAAGAGTGAAGAGATCCCAAAAGCTAACACATCCACGGGCAGAAAGGACCTATCCTATCTATCAGTTTTTGTTCTCGTGGTTACATATAGTGCTAATGATCAGTGAGTGACTCAGGCGGAACTGAAAAGACAAGACCATGGTGCATTTGTATCAACGACGTCGCAACCGCGAACAGGTGGGTTTAATCGGTTCTATTGGGTTCCAATCAGTTCCGTTCTGGGCCGTATGTGTTTTTCCTTTATTTTTTTTTCTTGTTTTCGTATACCTGTGCTCGTGCCTGGCATTCGAAATGTCTAATTAGCTGCGCAGAAAAGCGCTTGAATGAAGAAGTTCCATTCCTGAATGGAAGCAATTGGAAATTCACGGAATTTGCACCTGGTTTTTGTGCTCAAGACGGATTGACAGAGAAACTCGGCGTAGAATACACAGTGAATGGAAACGCAGCACCAAGAGAGCGAGCTGGATAAAGAATAAAGGCCTCAATTGGCTCACCAATAATGACGAATTGCTTTAATTGAGCAATTCCCACAAGCGATATAATGCTTTAATTTCGTTGATCCGACACTTTGGTGGCTCGCATTGCATTAACCTTGATGGGAATGGGGTCAACAGACCCCGACGAACGACGGCTGACCCAATAGAACTTGCATTTTTCGTCAGAAGCAGAAGAAACTGCATGAATAATCTTGATTGAGGAAAATGGTAACCAGATAACTCATATTTGGATAACCGTAATTAAATGCATTCGCGGAAATTGCCAGACACAGCTGATTATATTCGACGGAGAGCGGAAAAGCGAAAATATCGCACATTTGTTGATATTTCCCATTTACACTTTTAATCTCGACCCATTTCGTGGAAGATAAGGTGGGCAGAGTGCATTAGCATTGCACAATCAGTCCGTATAGTATATTTTGGGGTATAGACCGGCATTATATGCGGTGATGTGATCATGGGCGTGAGCCATTAGCTCAAAAAATGAAAGATGATCACCGTGCCTAATTGCACGGCATCACGAAATCGTGAGAACACAGAGTTTGCATCACTCCACAAGCTGCACAAATTTACGATCGGTCAGCGCTGAACTAGTTCCGCCGATCATAAAGACTGCGGTTTTATTGGAAACGCTACCCGTTCGCTGTCCTATCCGTTGCCCATGAATCAAATGGGCAATCGCAAAGCGGAAACCAGTTGACCACTTAATGTGGGTCAGAGTGGCAGAACTAGTTCCGTAATTTAACCAATTGTCGTAAATTCACTTGGTTATTACGATGGAGGTCGCATTGAAGTCCAACCCGTTTTCTCACTCACGATGGTTTTTTAATGGGGATATCTGTTAAGATCTCGAGGATATTGTAAAGTTACCGGATTTAAGCGATAAGCTTCAGAGATTAGTATTTCCCATAATTTCGTAATGTGATGGCTTATGCTGCTTTTGAATTCGAATCGGGTTTATTAAAGAAGATACAATACATTCCTAAAACTGTGTAAATTTCAGCAATATTAATTTCTGAATTCATTTATATTATAAACCAATACCTCATACTTTATCTTTTCTTTTATTTCCTTTTCAGGCTGTGAAACAATTCATTGATCTCTGCAATAACCTGGGTGCTAACTGCAGCACGACGACAGCGGCATCCTCGTCAGCTTCCGCCTCCACAGCCAGCAGCACGCAGAACTTAACGGCAATTGTGCCGCCACAGCCGCAGCTCCAGGTGCAATTACCGGCGGCGCCACATGGATTACAATTCGGCGGCGGTGGAGGAGGAGGAGCAGCAGGAGCAGGAGGAGGGGAAGGTGGTAGAGCGGCACCCGTGAGACGCCACATTTCCCATACGACAGCCGTAAAGTTTCTGTACGCCCGCAAGTTTGACATACCGCGAGCGGTCTCGCTTTACGAGCAGCATGAGCAGATCCGCCAAAAGGAGTATCTCTATAACATCGATCCGGATGTGGAGCCACTGCGTTCAGAGTTGCAGACCGGCAAGTTCACAATCCTGGTAAGTCGAAGGTTATTGAACACTCTAAAAATGAGTTGATAATAATTTCTGTTTTTGATTTCCAGCCCGCACGCACCTCCAGCGGGGCTGCCATCGCCCTCTTCACCGCCAATCGACACAGTCCCCTGAGCGTTTCGCACACGACCACGCTGCAGGGCATCGTCTATCAGCTGGACAGTGCGCTCCAGGACTCGGAGACGCAGCGCGCAGGACTCGTGTTCATCTACGACATGAGCGGGTCCAAGTATTCCAACTTTGACTACGACCTATCCCAGAAGATTCTCACACTGCTCAAGGTGAGTCTCTAAATCAATTGGGGATTATGGCATACTTTCGGGCAGCTATGGAGAAATGGCTAGAGAGATGGGGGAAATCGTAAAGTTACGTCTGTTAAGGGTTTTTTATAAACCGATTTTTAAAGACATTCCTAAATTAAATTAAATTAAGTTCAACATTAAATTTTAATCGTAGGTAAAGTAAGGGAGTTGCATAGCCAATATATGCATTATCGAAGCCATACTTAAAGTAATATACTTGCACATAATAAGTCATTGTTTGAGTTCGTATATTTAAATGTATAGTAACTGTATTTACACATCCATCATCTAGTTTTTAGAGCAGCTTCATTTAGGCAAATATATTTAAAGACTTCAGCTATTTAATGGGCAAAACTTTTTTAACAATGCACTTCTCTCGCAAAGTTTTGCAAGTAGTTTTTATCTAGTTTGAAGTCGATCCGACATATTCCCAGGTGGGCTGTCATCGCAGTGCCTCTGCCCCCCACAGTTTGCCTGCCCCATTGTCGCACTTCCGGCTCTTGGCTTCGTCGAAAGTCAACACAACACAATCCCAGCTTGCCCCACAAAGGCACAAAGCGTGGCACGGCCCCTGAAATTAAAATATTAAACATGCCTCTATTAATACAAAAGATATTTCTCATTTGGTGTGTGCGTTTTTCCATGCGCCATATGCGCAGTTTTTATTATTTCTATTTTTTTTTTTTTTTCGTTGTCATATCTGTGAATCAGTATCCGCGCATTCAACTATCCGAGTTTCTGTGCCAAGTGGCCTGCGGATTCTCTATCAACCGAATGGCGGAAAATGTCTTCAAGCTGAAAATTTCTGTCTCGTTTCGTTGGCTTTTCATGTCATGCGTCAAAATTTTTTTTTTTCATATTAACGTATGTGGTTCTCGTTGATTGAAAGGAAGTGGGAGGGATCTTGGAGTCGGTATTGGGCAAGTTCTTGATTTATTTGACCTTTTTTGGTTGCTATGCGTTATTAAATATCGTTATTATTAGTAAAATGGGCAGGTAGAGTTTTAATTGATCAAGCTGTGATGATTGCTGAGTACAGATTGTATAACTTCAATACTATTTCCCTTAAAAAAACATATCATTTTTGCATAAAGATAAGCTCATAGCTTACTAACAGCAGAAAATTAAAAAAGTTTTACCATCTAAGCCTTTTTTGTGCGAAATATTTTTCTGTTTTGAACTTGGCTAGAAACATTTGTTTAGAGCCGTCTCAGTCCTGTTGTGGGTCTCTCTATTATACTGCTGTTCCGGCCATAAAAATTAGTTATTCGCTTTGTTTTTACATGGGCTCCCATAAAATATTACTGTTGTACCTGACTCGGAAATCCTTGTTTGGAGGAAGTAGTTGAGTGCACACAATCAGCGACTGAATGTATAAAAAAAAAAGAAATAGTTACCCCCCAAAGTACACACGCAGGAGCGGAGGAGGAAGTGTGTGGTAGGCGGTGGTGGGCGGTGAACCGTGGGTGGGCGTGGCAATCACAGCATGCGACGCGTGGGCGGCGGCTTTCGTCTGCCCACGCTAAAGATGAAAACAACGAGCTGGCACTACTCCTCCCTTAGTCACACAAAATAAGACGTAATTTTGATTGGGGACAACCCACTGTCACCACCACCTCCCAACCCCACCCCATCTCCTTTCTCCAACCTATTTGCATAAAAAAAAAACCGAAAAAAAAAACAGACACCAAGAACAACAACAGGTAGCTATCATCATCCCAGTTTTGTTGTTGTCTTGTTTTCCATTTCATTTGCGTTTCGTTTGCTCGAGTCCCACATTTTTGTGCTCTCTCCGCTGTTTGTCTTGAAATTGCGTTCTACTTGTCGTCCTACAGTACAGTTACCAGAGATCGTTCGGGGAATCAAAATATATATATTTACATATAAGAGTAATATATATGTATGTACATAGCTACGTTTTAATGGGGGAGTTTGGGGCCCAGAGAAATCGCCGGCCGGCATTGAAAGTCCGCGAAACATTGGAGGCTCTCGACATATTTCGCTCAATTTGCCAAAAAGCCTCTTCAGGTATATATATATATGTATGTATGTGAATAAACATGGGTGTTTATCTGCCAACCAATATTTGTATACATAATCTGCCCACTCGAAATGTACATACAGACAGGGTTAGGCAAACATTAAATATTACTTTTTTATCTGTCTCTGATACCATTTTTATATTAAATTCATTTAATTAACAGTATCATCCTAATAAGTTCCTATATACATACATACATATATATTTTGAAATTAAGATACTCATTTCTTTTGAAGAATTTACGAATTTATATGTACTGTTTTCTTCATTTTTGCTTTTTCTGTTTTTTAAAACCCAATTCAATTTAATATTTAATATATATGCGCTTCTTTTCTGAGCACGACTGTGTAAATACATATTTATTTATATTAATATGTACATATTTATCCCATTCTGCTACGAAAATAAAAAAACGCACAAAATAAAGTTAACAATGAAAACGATTCGGCGTGGGCGCACTCTTCCCTCTTCCCTCGCAAATGGAACGCCAGTGGTCAAAGGGAGATAGAGATAAATTGAGGCAAAGAGAGACGTGAAGAGGAAGAGGAAGTGAGGAAGAATAAGAGAACCTCCATTAAACGTTCTCTTTGGCGCGTGTCCCAGTATTTTAAATTTTTTTTTGGTTTTTTAAATGAGAGAGTGCGGAACAAAGTTAAGCTGCGTAGGCGGTAAATCCAATGTTTGTGACGTCATGGAGCCAAAAAGAAACAAAACGAAGAAACACGGCAACTCTGGCTTGTACCAAGACGCGTATGCGCAATATTTTGGGACCATCACGCATACGCAGCGTTGCCGCAATTTGAAGACAGAAGAAGAGATCGTAAAGCTCAGACACACACACACTAAGGCACGGAGTGGAATGTGCCCACGCTATTTCACTCTCACTTTTACTCAGAGAGTGGGGGAGAGAGAAAAACAATGTTTATGCGTAGTCAGTTTCAAGAAATTATTTATATTTTAATGTTAATATTTAAGTTTACACGTTTTTGAGAAGATATAGCTATCAATTTTTAAATGTTACAAACTTTTCTGTATTTTAATTTTATATGATTAGTTTTTTTTAAACAAAATTCTATTTGGATTTCGTTTGCTCAAAAATTTAATAACTTGATGGCATAAACACTATAAGAGAGGGAGAGAGCAAAGCTTCGAGGCACGCTCTCTTTCGCTGGGTCGCTTGTGGCTATCTTACGCCTTTGCTTGATTAACTAATTCAGTTGACGTGTTCTAGTCGAACGTTATAGATTGTGTCCAATAGCAGCGCCCCCTCGCCAAGAAATACCAACACGAAAGAGCGGTAAAAATGTGCGTCCATATGGCAAATCCATTTCCCATTTCCGATGTGCGCGTGTGAAAGTTTTCCCCGCTTGGTTGTGTTTTTTTTTTTTAGTTGTTGCCCTCGTTTTGTTTTTGGCTACTGCACTTGGCCCACAAACACTTGATCAAACAGTGATTGACGGCGGGATAATTTGATCGTATTTATAGATCGTTCGGAAAAACGGCGCGCAGTTCATTCATTGCTCAGTTGGCTTAAATACACGATTAATACCTGATGACGCCGCCGTCGATATGTTAACGCTTTTGTTATTGTTGTCGATACGTTGGCCGCCGCTGCTGTTTTGTGTTATTTTTACAACGTGCTTTTTGTTGCCGCAGCCGTTCGACATTGACGCAAATGTTTAGACCAGACTCGAAAGTCTAAATGCAAATTTATATACCAGAATTGAGAGAATTGTACGCCCTCGGAACGTGTACTACTCCGCTTCCGCATTACAAGAGTGGTTCCGGAAAATCCGAAAAAAAGAAGAAAATTAACAAAATACATGCAGTGTCTCGTAATTCTCAGAAAAAGTCAGCATTTCATTTGAGTTACTACCTAGAGAACTAGTGGCGTGTTTTTTATTTGTATTTTTTATGACTTGTTAACGGGAGACCTTTGGAGGTACTTTTATCGATAATTTAAAAATTTCCTTGCTACGACACATTTTTTTTAATTCTCTTGAAACGGACGAAATACAACGTGATTTGTTTATAAAATTAAACCATTTGGAGCCCCGGAATAGCTCCTTAAAAGTAGAACTAACGTTAAGATTAGGTTAACCGAAAATGGAACTTATCTTATCGAAGCAATTAGTGTTCTTGGTTTATTTGTGGTCATTTCCTCAAAAAAAAAAAATTGTTTTGCCTAATCTAAAAACAAATATTGAAAAATTTGAAAAGCACAGTCATCGACTCACAGGTCACTTTTGAATGTGGCTTTGTGTTTATTCAAAGTGAAACTCCATATTAAGAAATGCGTTTCGTTGAATTTTCGATGACTGTTTCATGCCATAATGAAATAGTCATCTTAATTTTAGCAATCAGATACCTTACATATTTAAATGGCTTTTCTATAAAGTACGATTGTTGTTTATATAGAGTTATGTGGTTAACCAATTAAAAATCAATTGTTAACATTTAATCAATGTTTTAAGACATGCATGTTTATTAACATTATCATTAGAAAAAGTTATAATAAGGGCTTAGAAAGTCAGGTGCATAATTATCTGCTTCTTAGATCGGGTTGGCAACCCTGTGACAACTTCAACCACTTGAATCACTCACTTGCGAACAATCGACAGCTGCATCACATGCAACCTTGCACCCGCTTAAAACTACCCTTAGCGCACAGACTCTCGCCGTTGCTCTCTCCCTTTCTCCGCCCCTCGCTCTCCCAACAACCCCCTGGTGTCCACCAGGGTTGCCAGAGAGAGGACGAGAGCAACCCACTGACCAGTTCTTCCGCTCTTTGGCACCGGTGGTGGTGTTGACAAAAAAAATTTGAGAGCGCTTGCGCCGAGAACGCAGCCGCAAAATAGCAAAAGGAAAAAAAGCAAAACGAAACGGTACGGTACGAAAAAAATTAAATAAAGCAGCCGCAGCAGTCAGACGTAGTTCA